TGGAGCCTTACAGCAAAATTGGTGGCATCAGCAAAGTTTAAAGAACGACCATCTTACTTTATATTTTACCAGCGAGGTTTAGACGGTCCTGCTTGGGAATTCCACATAGATTTTGAGGCAAGTAACTTTTCACTTTGGAAAAACCAAATTTGAGATGTCAAACTAATGCATTGCATTCTCATTTATACAGATCAAGAATAGACCCCAAGACGAGAATGTGGATAAGCTGGCTACAGTGGCTCTAGCAGGTTCCCATATACACCCTGATCATTTCTCAAAAGACTTTAAACAATTCATTAATAAGTTTCCTAGCTGGGCTTTTGTATCACCTCGATCAAGTGAGATTAAGATTTGGGAGATTTAAAAATCATGAAACCAAACCAGTGGCGGATCCAGAGGCGACTTTAGGGAGGGGCAAAGTAGCTCTTTTTTCCTACTTACAGGGGCAAAGCATAGCTTTTTGCCTTTCTTTCAGGCGTCATCTAGGTGCCATGGGAGGGGCAAAAGACTAACTCCCCCCCTCCCCCTTTCCCCTCCCCTCCCGTGTGGATCTGCACTTGAACCGAAAAGCACAGAAGACTTTTGTTCCCCCTTAAACTAGATTCAACTGTGTAATTTACTATCTGATAGATGAGTTTTAGAACAAACAGAACATATGATTAATGCTGGAGTTTTCTTTTTAATAAACTTGCCTGAAAAAGAATTTTTTTATTGAGTATGGTATTAAAATTTATTGCGTTAATGGTAGACTTTGTGCTATATTTGTATTACAGACATGTTACAAAATATGGGTAGGCATTTAACTTTCTGTGCAGAGCAACAACTTTGTCAACAGATCACCAGGCTTACTACCCACATACAGTCAAACACACTATTACTTATTACTTAACAGTGGGCATGTCCTTAATAAGTTAGGAAAATAATATGGCACACCATTTGTTGCACGGAGTAATATTGGAAGGAATGTGAGTAAATATGAATCTTTTGCTGCAGACCCAGACACATCATTAAAACAAAGTTTCAAATGATGTCGCTGGTGTGAGAGAAAGTCACCATGGCATCAAAACAAGAATCAGAAATTAAGAATTCCTTATCTTCCATTGCATTGTTGTTGATACCACAGTGAGTTTATCGTGGTATTCTGTTTTACCTGGAGCAGATAACTGATAACTAAAAAACATAAGTGCTATCTAACAAACATGAAAATCCTACTTTCAAATTCTAACAACAAACAAAAAGAAAGAGTTACAGGGAACAACGCACATTTTCTATTTGAAACATATTCCAAACATGTTAGTCACTGTTTTTGTTTTTTAATAAAAATAAATTTTGCATCTTTTTGGACTAAAATATTCCAAATTATTTCTAAAAAGTCGAAGTAACATTGGAATACATTCCATTGCTTGCCCATCAGACAGGGAGGGGGCAAACCTTGAAGACTTAGCTCGGATGATATCATCAATGCTTCTAATGCCACAATGTGCCACGTATTTGACAGCAGCCAAACCATTCTAAACATTAAACTAGCAAGGATGAACGATTGAAAATACCTCTGCACAGACTGTTGATGTTGGTAGCACTCAATCGTACAATCTTTTCCCTCCTGCTCCCCTCCAGTGAGACAGGCAGCGGCAGCTGAGTTCGCTGCGGTTGTACTAGCACCGCCGACGGCTAATGGGGCCGCGCGGCTGCCTTTGCGGCAAAGACTGGACGGGTCCGTCCACCCCTCCTCTACTTCTTGCTGTTGTTGTTGTAGAAGTTGGGCATCGGCGTCTTGGAGAAGTCGATGTGGACTTCCTTCTGTAGTCTGGGCGGCAGCTCGCGGTATATCGTCTCAGGCACGTGGTCTGTGAAGACAAAGTAGACAAACGCGTCATTCCCCGAAGCTCCCCGACCCTGGAGACTCCCAAAGAACACGAAACGCTTATAGTGACGTCATTTTGATGTCTATATAACAAATTTCGGTCAGAATTTTGACCAAAAACAAGCGTAATTTTGACGTCATTTTGACGTTCTTTGACTGCTTCGTGTTCTTTGGGCTGATTCCGAGAGTCGTCGTCGTCGTTCTGTCTCTGTCACACTCACGAGCCGTCCCGTTTCGGTACGAGAGAGACAGACTAACGAAAACCTGATGCACAGTGGGCAAGAAGACCGGTGGAGGCTGTCAAAACCCTGGACGCGTTTTGAGCTACAGAGTCGCGAAATGGGACTCGAACCGAACGTGAGACCCCACCAATGGATTGCTCTCCGAACGAGGAATCCATTGGTAGGGTCACATGTTAGGTTTGAGGCCTGTTGAGCGATTCTGGAGCTTAAAAAGCGTCTAGAGTTGGGGTCGCATACGCCGGTCTTCTGGCCCACCATGAGATTAGGGCCCAGCGTCCGACGCGCGCTGAGCGAGCCACGCCGCCTGCGCGGTAGGCAACACATCCTCGCGCCGTCGGATGGGTTGCCTACCTGCCATTGCCATTACCATTAAGGGCTAGACCATACATGATCGAATGCCAATTCGGGCCCGACACAAGCTCGTCTGCTGGGCCGGCGTGCTCTGACACTGCACTCACCGTTACACCGGTACACCAGGTCGGACCAAATGATCATCTCCTGCGAGAAGCAGAAGACACCCAGTCGGCCGCCCTTGAGCGTGTTGTCGAAGATGTTGCCCGAGTCGGCCACCATGCTCTCGCCCTCGAAGATGCGCAGGCGGATGAGGCCGATGGTGGGCCTGTGCAGCAGCAGCCAGCGGTAGGCCGTCTTCTCCTTCCAGCCGACGTTGCGCGGGTCCTTCCACAGCAGCCGCACCTGGGGAAGCGAAGCGATTAGAAGACCGGTGGAGGCGGTCAAAATCCCGGACGCGTTTTGAGCTCCAGAGTCGCTAAATGGGACTCGAACCGAACGTGTGACCCCACCAATGGATTGCTCTCCGAACGACGAATCCATTGGTGGGGTCACACGCTCGGTTCGAGTCCTATTTAGCGACTCTGGAGCTCAAAACGCGTCTTGAGTTTTGGCCGCAGGCGCAGGCCTTCTGGTCCACTGTGAGTCGTACCTGGTCGGGCGTGTCGCCAGTGTGCCACAGCGAGTTGCGCAGCATCTGCCCCGGCCCGGAGCGGCTGTTGACCAGCTTGATCTGGATGCCCGGCTCGGCGACGGCTCGGAACGGCGTCGACTGCCAGTAGGTCTGCGTGTGCTTCTTCCACGCCACGGTGTAGAACTTGTGGTTGTCTTGGTAGCTGCGCAGCGGAAACATGAAACGTTGATCAAAATTGCAGCCCACGGGATTCCAGAGGCCAAATCCAGAGGGCAAAGGGACCCACAGTGGGCCAGAAGACCGGAGGACGCGGCCAAAATCTCGATCGCGTTTTGAACTCCAGAGTCGCTAAGTGGTACTTGAACCGAGCGTGTGACCCCACCAATGGATTGCTCTCCGAACGAAGAATCCGTTGGTGGGGTCGCACGTTCGGCCCGAGTCCTGTTTAGCCACTCTGGAGCTCAAAACGCGTCGAGAATTTCTGGTCACCTCTACCGGCCCTCTGGCCCACTGTACAATGCTTTGCGATGGCTGCGTATACACACCTGAAAATGAAGCCGACGTAGTCGTCGTCGATCTCCGTGTCCACGAAGAAGGTGCCCTCGAAGTCGACGCCGCCGAAGGAGTCGAAGCCTGTGTGTATGAGACAGGGCAGGTCAGTGTTGCCTCTTGCTTGAGTAGGCAAAAAAGTTGCCACGGTATGGAACCGTGTATAAAGGGTTGCCAACCTCGGCCTGCCCACTAGGCAATGTCTGGGGCTGGCAATCGAGAAGTTGCCTAGTAGGCAGGCTGAAGTTGCCGACTCTTTCAAGGGTCATGCATCGTGGGAATTTTTTCCCTGGAGGGCAGCACTGCAGTGGGCCAGAAGACCGGCGCCGGCGGCCAAAACTCTGGACGCGCTTTGGAGCTCCAGAGTCGCTAAACAGGACTCGAACTGAACGTGTGACCCCACCAATGGATTCCTCGTTCGGAGCGCAATCCATTGGTGGGGTCACACGCTCGGTTCGAGTACCATGGAGCTCAAAACGCGTCCGGGATTTTGACCGCCTCCACCGGCCTTCTGGCTCGCTGTGCACTGGGCAGCGATGGTGAGGCCGAGCACCAAATTGCTGCTACACGGCAAATTCATTTCCACTCACCGACGGCGAGACCGGGGTCGGAGTTCATGGTCTGCACGATCTCCGCGCCCTTGTTGTAGATGACCCAGTTGGGGTCGATCTGGGAGTCGCCCTCGGGGTCCAGCACCACGGTCTGGTAGGTGCGGAAGTCCGTGGAGAAGATCATGGAGTTGTTGGGGCAGTTGTCGAGGTGGTCCGCCACGTTGTCCTTGTCGTAGTCGCCCTGGCACGCGTCGCCCACGCCGTTCTCTGCAACACGGAGCAAGGGGTCGTGTCGTCTCTCTCGCACCCACAGGGCGTCCCGGGACGGAGCACAGTGGGCCAGAAGACCGAGGCGGCCGAAACTCTAGACGCGTTTTGAGCTGCAGAGTCGCTAAACAGGACTGGAACCGAACGAGTAACGACGACCCCACCAATGGATTCCTCGTTCGGAGAGCAGTCCATTGGTGGCCCAAAGAACAGAAATTTGTCATCCAGACGTCAAATGATATCAAAGAATGGTCAAAATCCTGTTTGTCAGAATGACATCATTGTCGACGGTCAAAGTTAGGGTATTTTGACGTCAAGTTGATGTCAAATGATGTCACGAATCCATTAAATGTATAAAGGATACGATTCTACTCATCGGCTGATATCCCCCTTTTTAGTTGTCCCGCCCATGTGTGGTTGTAGTGTCTCCTTCCGTTAAACGTCGAAAGTCGCACCGCGGCCGGCCGGACTTGAACCCACCTCCTCGGCTTCGGGGGCGAGCTCTTTACCACTGCGCCACGAAGACATCTAAGAATCGACTGCTCGCCGCTGCTCTAAGACCAGCGGTCGGAAATCGGCCCGGCAGTTGACTCGAAAGTGACGGCAATTCTTTGGGATGAAAAAATGCCTGGTATTTTCCACTTCAGCACCCGAACGCGATAGACTTTCCAGAATACCAGAGAAGTCTGCATTTTTCACCGCAATTGCTGATAAAATGCGTTCATGGATGACATCAAACGGACGTCATCGTGACCAAGTGTACTTCAAGATCTTAACTTCACAGGTTATCGCCAGTTTACCTCTTTTCCAAATGGCGTAAGACTTTTTGAAAGGAATAATGCAATTCCAGTTAGTTTTGCTCGTAGTTTGTAATGAGTCAAATTGACATCATCCTGATGTCACCTTTCAAGAGAGTGACTAAATTTTGTCATTTTTCAGTCACTAGATGTCAATGTGATTATTTTCTGTTCTTTGGGGGGGTCACACGTTCGGTTCGAGTCCCATTTAGCGACTCTGGAGCTCATATCGCGTCAAAGGTTTTGGCCACTGTGCAGAGCTACGCCCAGCACACTGATAAAGCAAAGGGGGAAAAATGGCCGTCATGGGCATTAAACTGTTTTCACGCTCTCAAATTTCGCCTGGACGGACGCCCTACACTGGTAAAACTGGAGCGTAGTTGTATGCTACATTCAAGCATACAACTACGCTTGAAGACTCTACGCTTGACGTCAAGCGTAGAGAAGAAATCCTCCCATGCATTTAGATAGGCGGGAGAGGGGCGAAATGGAGAAGTACGCTTGAAGCCGAGCGTAGTTCTACTACGCTTGAAGAAAGGCGTAAAAGTACGCTTGAGTTCTACCAGTGTACAAGTACTCACGGTCGATGTCCTCCTGGTCCGGGTTGTACACCAGCGGGCAGTTGTCCTGCAGGTTGGGGATGCCGTCGTTGTCCCGGTCGTTGTCGCAAGCGTCGCCGCGGCCGTCGCGGTCCGTGTCCAGCTGGTCGCCGTTGGGGATCCTGGGGCAGTTGTCGACGTTGTCCTGGTGGCCGTCCTTGTCCGTGTCGTGGTTCGTGTCGCACGCGTCGCCCACGTTGTCGTTGTCGCTGTCGATCTGGTTCGAGTTGGGCACCTTGGGGCAGTTATCGCACACGTCGCCCAGGCCGTCGCCGTCCGTGTCCATCTGGTCGCGGTTGGCCTTCTTCGGGCAGTTGTCCTGGTGGTTGAGGATCTCTGCGGGGAGAGCGGGAAACTCGGTTAGCACAGTGGGCCAGAAGACCGGTGGAGGCGGCCAAAACTCTAGACGCGTTTTGAGCTCCAGAGTCACTAAGCAGGACTCGAACCGAACGTGTGACCCCACCTACGGATTCCTCGTTTGGAGAGCAATCCATTGGTGGGGCCACCCGTTCGGTTCGAGTCCCATTTAGCGACTCTGGAGCTCAAAACGCGTCCGGGACTTTGACCGCCTCCACCGGTGTTCTGGCCCACTGTGGCGCGCCTACGAACCGTCGTTGTCGATGTCGTCGTCGCAGGCGTCGCCGATGCCGTCGCCGTCGGTGTCCTCCTGGTCCACGTTGGGCACGGTGGGGCAGTTGTCGCAGGCGTCGCCCTGCTTGTCGGGGCCCTCCTGGTCCGTGTCGGCCTGGTCGGGGTTGTACACGAGCGGGCAGTTATCCTGGAAGAGGAAACAGTTTAGCAAAAGGGCGGAATCTTGCAGCCGGCTAAAGGCGAGCCAAAGGTAATGCTGGGTCCAGGGGTCTCAGAGACACGGCCCGGCTAGCGCGTGACACAGTGGACCAGAAGACCGGTGGAGGCGGCCAAAATCCTGAACGCGTTTTGAGCTCCAGAGTCGCCAAACAGGACTCGAACCGAGCGTGTGACCCCACCAATGGATTCCTCGTTCGGAGAGCAATCCATTGGTGGGGTCACACGTTCGGTTCCAGTCCCATTTAGCGACTCTGGAGCTCAAAACGCGTCCGGGACTTTGACCGCTTCCACCGGTCTTCTGGCCCACTGTGCGTCGTCGCTCTCACCCACCCCGCCGTTGGGCACCAGGTCGTCGTCGGCGTCCGGGTCGCACACGTCGCCGAGGCCGTCCTTGTCGGCGTCCTCCTGGCCGGAGTTGGGCACCAGCACGCAGTTGTCCTGCACAAAGAGGAGGTGTCAGTGGACTGATCTTGAGAGTCCTTCTCGTCCCTCTGTCTCTCTCGCATTCATGGAGCGTCCCGTACGGGTGCGACAGAGACAGAGCGACGACAGCGAATCTAGGAATGAGTTTGTAGTGAGTAGGGGGTGAAAGCCTGGTGCAGAGTGACTGCCGAGTGACTCCACCCTCCGCTCCCTCTCTCTCTCTCTCTCTCTCTCTCTCTCTCTCTCTCTCTCTCTCTCTCTCTCTCTCTCTCTCTCTCTCTCTCTCTCTCATTCTCTCTCTCTCGCCGCAGTCCCACCTTTCGGCAGCGGCTGAAGCTGCAGCCGAGATCGTAGTCGGGCCAGCCGTCCAAGTCCCTATCCGGACCGCAGACGAGGCCGTCTCCCGCGAAGCCGACGCGACACTGCGAAGAGCAACAACCGTAAAGCAACAAAAACAAAACGCCACGTAGTAAATCGGAAAATTGTAAAAATTGAGGAAAAAGTGACAGTCAAGGGCGGATCTGAAATAAGAGGGGCACACGTCTCTTGAACTTTGCCCCTCTCCCTCTGAGCCCTAGAAAGCCACCCGATTGGGAGGAAGACGACAACACCTCGCACAGTGGGCCAGAAGACCGGTGGAGGCAGTCAAAGTCCCGGACGCGTTTTGAGCTCCAGAGTCGCTAAACAGGACTCGAACCGAACGTGTGACCCCACCAATGGATTCCTCGTGCGGAGGGCAATCCATTGGTGGGGTCACACGTTCGGTTCGAGTCCCATTTAGCGACTCTGGAGATCAAAACGCGTTTCCAGTTTTGGCCGGCGGCGCCGCGTCTTCTGGCCCACTGCGCTTCGCCTGCGAGGCGAAAAGCGCCGCTAGTCCCCCTTTCCCAGGCCGATTCTGGATCCGCCCTCGGCGACCGTGCTGCAGTCTGATTCCGAGAGTCGTTTTCGTCGCTCTGTCGCTCTCGCACCTATACGGGGCGCCCCACGAGTGCGAGAGAGACAGAGCGACGAAAACGCCTCTCGGAATGAGTCTGCTGTGTGCTGACTGACCCTGCAGCGGTACGAGTTGGCGGTGTGGCGGACGCAGTCGGCGTTCTGGTCGCAGTCGGTGCCGTCCGGACACAGCCCGGGCTTGTTGTGGCACCCGACGGTCTGGTTGCCGACGAAGCCCTTGGCGCAGCCGCCGCAGTGGAAGGAGCCCTGGACACGCGAAAAACAAAACGATTCATTATCATGCACAATGTGAAAATATGTTGTCACTCTGCGACAAAAACGTGGGATATTTTCATCATTCTTAAATGATGACAATCTCATCACAAATTGATGACATTACCAAAATAGACCTTTCTTTTTCTATCCTTTTTATTTGTCCTTTCTTTGGTGAAGCAGCGGCCAAGCAAACTGATTCCGAGAGTCGTTTTCGTCGCTCTGTCTCTCCCGCCCTCATGGCTCATCCCGTGGCGGTGCGAGAGAGACAGAGCGACGGAGCGACGAAAACGACTCTCGGAATCAGTGTGCAGGAAAACAAGAGCACCGCGGCGGCCGGGCCGCGCGGTCGGCGTGCCCTTAGAAGGCCGTGCGGTCCAGCCGGCTCATTCCGCGCGGCGCTTTCGTCGCGCTGTCTCTCTCGCACTCACGGGGCGGCCCGGAGAGGTGCGAGAGAGACAGCGCGACGGAGCCGCGTTCGGAGGGAGCCGGCTGGACAGAAGCCTGCTGTCATCCTCAGAGGCCCCGGCCGGCCCCGCCTCGATCCAGGCTCCAGCCGGCTCCAGCGGTGGGTACATATGGGCTAGGCGCGGCAGCTCCGTCGCCGTGAAGCCAACCCGTGGCGAGGGCAAGTTCACCGTCATCCTCCCTCCCCTCCCAAACCCCGGACGCGTTTTGAGCTCCAGAGTCGCTAAATGGGACTCGAACTAAACGTGTGACCCCACCAATGGATTGCTCTCCGAACGAGGAATCCATTGGTGGAGTCACACGTTCGGTTCGAGTCGTGTTCAGCGGCTCTGGAGCTCAAAACGCGTCTGGAGTTTCGGCTGCCTCCACCGGTCTTCTGGCCCACTGTGCGGGCTCACCTCGGTGTTGACGCAGATGGAGTGCGGGGCGCAGCCGCCGTTGCGGCCGTCGGCGCACTCGTCGATGTCGCTGCAGCGCTGGCGGTGCTGCACGGCGTACTCCAGGCCCACGCCCTCCACGCCCGGCGAGCCGGTGTAGCCCTGCGGGCACGGGTCGCAGCGGTAGCCGGGCTGCATGTTGACGCAGCGGACGCGCGGGTCGCACGGCTCGGCCAGGTCGCACTGCGGGTCGCAAAGCAAGACAGGGGTTACAACAACAACAAAAATGACTTTTTGGATCAAGACAAAATTAACTTTTCTTGTTTTCTAAAGAAAAATTTTCGAGAGAGAGAGAGAGAGAGAGAGAGAGAGAGAGAGAGAGAGAGAGAGAGAGAGAGAGAGAGAGAGAGAGAGAGAGAGAGAGAGAGAGAGAGAGAGAGAGAGAGAGAGAGAGAGAGAGAGAGAGAGAGAGGGAGAGAGAGAGAGAAAGAGATTGATTGATTGATTGATTGATTGATTGATTGATTGATTGATTGATTGATTGATTGATTGATTGATTGATTGATTGATTGATGATTGATGGATTGATTGATTGATTTAAGGTACATGACAACGAGAGAGAGAGAGAGAGAGAGAGAGAGAGACGAACCTCGTCCAGGTCGTGGCAGGTGGTTCCGTTACCGGTGAAGCCGGCGGCGCAGTTCCCGCAGCGGTAGAAGGGGTGGTCCTGCAGGGGGTGGCACTGCACGCCTGGAACAGGAAAAAACGCGAAAAGCGTCAACGAACCGCCGAGTCTCACTTAGCGACTCTGGAGCTCAAAACGCGTCTAGAGTTTTGGCCGCCTCCACCGCACAGTGGGCCAGAAGACCGGTGGAGGCGGCCAAAACCCTAGACGCGTTTTGAGCTCCAGAGTCGCTAAGCAGGCCTCGAACCGAACGTGTGACCCCATCAATGGATTGCTCTCCGAACGAGGAATCCATTGGTGGGGTCACACGTTCGGTTCGAGGCCTGCTTTGCGACTCTGGAGCTCAAAACGCGTCAAGAGTTTTGGCCGTCTCCGCCGGTCTTCTAGCCCACTGTGCACTAGTCTTCTGGCCCTGTGACCAGGGCACTCACCTGGCCAGCACGGGTTGTTCTCGCAGCCGTTGCGCGGAGTGCACCGCTGGCCGTCGCCCTGGTAGCCGGCGGGGCAGGGTCCGCACTGCGCGCCCTCCACAGTGTCGTAACAACGCACGCCCTGGAAGCAGGGCCTCTCCGCGCACGTGTAGCCGGGCTTGCAGTTCCGGCCGTCGCCGACGTAGCCCTGCGGACAGCGGCCGCAGCGGGGCCCCTCCGGCGTGTCGCGGCACTCGGCGCCCGGGAAGCAGGGCGACGGCTGGCTCTCGCAGGTGATGCGGATGGCCGCGGGCTCGCCTCCTGCAAGGGGCACAGCGGATTTGCCAGGAGACCGGCGGAGGCGGTCGAAACCCCGGACGCGTTTTGAGCTCCAGAGTCGCTAAATGGGACTCGGAGAGAACGTGTGGCCCCACCAATGGATTGCTCTCCGGACGAGGAATCCATTGGTGGGGTCACACGCTCGGTTCGAGTCCTCCTTAGCGACTCTGCAGCTCAAAGCGCGTCTTGAGTTTTGGCCGTCGGCTTCGGTCGTCTGGTCCACTGTGGGATCCGCAACTTATCATTGGGCAGCGTGCCAGTAACTTAAGAATAGAGGGTTTGAGCGAGCACTGATGATGGTCTGAAAATTATTACAAGTGGTTCAGAATGATTTGACTGACAAAGTCCAGAGGCTAGAAAAGTAATGAATTGTTTTACGAATGAGTCCGTGTTTTCCTGACAATAATTTATTTTAGTTTTTTGGATTTATAGAGAGATTGGGTTTATTTAGTTAGGAGCGACCGGGCCCACATTTCTCGCACGATTTTGTTGTTTTGTTTCCAGAAAGTCAATATGCAAACGGCACAGCCGTATCTTCTTCTTCCCCCGACCCTACCCCCTTCCCCTCCCCCCTCCCCCTGACCCCTCGCCCCACCTCCCCCTCAACTTTAACGCCCCCTCTGCCCCTCCCCCGTCTCGCGACACACCGTGTACGAATCAGGTCCGGTCCGCAGACCGATTCCGAGAGTCGTCTCCATCGCTCTGTCTCTCTCGCACCGATAAGACACGCCCCGTGAGTGCGAGAGAGACGGAGCGACGAAGACGACTCTCGGAATCGGTCTGCTGTCCTTTTCGTTTTCCCCGAATCCCGCGTCGCGTTATGCGATGCCGCCTCTCGTGTCTCTTTTGCCTCTATTTGGAGGCAATGAGTGGCCGACCGGGGCGTGTCTGAGAGTCCGAGACTCGTAAAGAAGCCGTCCCCATGTCCGGCGGGGCAGGCCCGACCACTGCAGACTGAGAGTCGTTTTCGTCGCTCTGTCTCTCTCGCACTCATGGGGCGTCCCGTACGGGTGCGAGAGAGACAGCGCGACGAAAAGGACTCTCGGAATCAGTCTGCTGGGCCGGCCGGACAAATGGTGGACGGCGGGGGCGGTGCCGGGCGGTGCCGGTGTTGCCTTGTTGGAGAGCGGATGGCCCGCTAGTGGCGTCCGAGCCGACAAGATCGACATCTTGTAAAGTCTCGCCGGGGTGGTCGCGAGGCGCAGACTTTGTCTTTCACTCGGCTTCGTGCCGGTCGCTCTGTCTCTCTCGCAGCCTCACAGTGGGCCGGAAGACCGGCGCCGGCGGCCAAAACTCTACGAGCGTTTTGGGGTCCAGAGTCGCTGAACAGGACTCGAACCGAGCGTGTGACCCCACACCAATGGATTCCTCGTTCGGAGAGCAATCCATTGGTAGGGTCACGCCGATACATTTTCAGTGAGTTTGCGAAAAGAAGAGGACGTGTCGTGCTTGTGAGAAGGAGAGGTTTGAAAAAAATGGTAAAAAAAAATGAAGAGAAAAATCTCGTGGTATTTGAAAGAACGTACCTTTATTCGCATTGTTCGAGCGTACATGGTTATCACAGCTCAATAGATTGCGATCATAATAAAAAAGAGAGAACGAAGTATAAAAAATTAAATTTCCTCACACAGGAATGAAGTTCTCGGAATGAATCGTTCATTAAAGTTATCACTTAAAAAAAGCACATGTCTCCTTCTTTTCGCTAACTCGGTTAAAGTTAAAACGGGCCCGGAAACCTGACGGAATCAAAAATTTAGAGCCCAGAAAATATATCAAGTTTTTTTTTGTTTTGTTTTTGGTTGTTGTAATGCTTTTTTAGAGTAAGCAGCCCTACTTGTGGTCCTTGTCTCTCTGCCTGCGCCTGCCCCACCCCATCAGGCGGGGCTGGCTGGAGTGCACACTGTGCGGCACACTGTGCGGCGCACTGTGCGGCACACTGTGCACGCCACCTGGGTGCCGCAGCGCGCCCACGACAGATGGTGAGTCCGGCCGCCAGTCCGGCTGCCTGCGCGGCGCGCTGCGCGGGGCTTTACCTTTGCAGAGCTCGCACTGCTCCAGCATCTCGCGGAGCTGCCGCGTCTCGGTCCGCTGCGGAACAAACGGGGCGACGTCAGAAGGCGGCTCCGGCGCACAGTGGGCCAGAAGACCGGTGGAGGCGGTCGAAACCACGGACGCGTTTTGAGCTCCAGAGTCGCTGAATGGGACTCAAACCGAGCGTGTGACCCCACCAATGGATTCCTCGTTCGATGAGCAATCCATTGATGGGGTCATTCGTTCGGTTCGAGTCCTGTTTAGCGACTCTGGAGCTCAAAACGAGTCCGGGATTTTGACCAACTCCATCGGTCTTCTGGCCCAAAATTGAATATTTTGAGCATATATAAAGCTATCAAAGAAAATTCTTTGTAATATACGAACTATTTCCTTGTACAACAAAATAAATAGTTAGTACCTTAAATATGCTCAAAATACTTCGTAAGGTTTTAAGCGTGTAGCTTGTTAATAAAAAGAGGTAGATCAACAAGGGTGAAACAAAAAACAAATGAATTTAAAGAAAGCTGCTTCAGCTAGTACTACTTGAAGGGTGCAACTTTAGTTGGAAATCGAGCCTTGTTTTCGGTTCTAAGCTCTGAAGCTCAGCCCTACACTTTCGACGAGCCAGAGTTATTGCAGGCAATTGAAACGAAGAGACACCACTGTCATAGTACAGTGTATTTCATCTGCGAAAAATCTCAGACTACTCTTCGTCTGACAACACAAATACACACACATGCATAAGGAGGCTTTCTGGTCAGCAGCAGCCAAATTATCCACAAGCGGGTCGGAGCCGCCGTTGTTGTGGTGGTCAGGGTGCAGTGGTGCGTGCGAACCGGGTCACAGTGGTCCAGAAGACCGGTGGAGGCGGCCAAAGTTCGAGACGCATTTTGAGCTCCAGAGTCGCTAAATGGGACTCGAACGAAGCGAGTGACTTCATCAATAGATTGCTCTCCGAAAGAGGAATCCATTGGTGGGGTCACACGTTCGGTTCAAGTCCTGTTCAGCGACTCTGGAGCTCAAAACGCGTCTGGAGATTTGGCCGCCTCCACCGGTCTTCTGGCCCACTGTGCGGGTGCAGGATTACACACACACACGCACACACACACGGCGCATGCGGCTGGACTCAGAGCCGGATCCTTACTTGCATGATGTCGCACGCGTGCTCGGCCCTCAACTGCGCGTTCCTGTCGGCGCAACCACCAACCTGGTACTCCATCTCCTCGCGCAAGCGCTTCATCGCGTTGATCAGGTCGTCCAGGGTCTTCACCAGCAAGTCTGTCGGCACGCCGGACAAGGTCAAGGGCACTCAGTGTCGCCACCCAAAATTTCAACGACTCACCAACTCACCAGCGTCGGAAGGGTTGCCAACCTCAGCCTGCCTGCCTGCTCGGCTACAGGGGTAACCAACTCAAGATTTTCATGTACACTGATTATATTTAGAGTATGATTACATGTGATTTCTTTTGATTATTTTATTATTTATCACTGATTATAGGAGGTTATTATGTTGATTATTGGGAAATATTGGGGATTATTTGAGCGCCCACCTCGGAAAGCTGTTAAAGTGTCGGTAATTCAATATTGGTGACTTTGGGCAGCCACTGCGTCAAATGTAGTTGCGGTTATAGGCCTTCCTCGACGCCTTACTATTCTGAAGACCCTACTTTTTCATGCCCTGCCTCGGGAAGGCTTTGACCGCTGATAATTTGGGAGCAGTGGTCTCGCAAAAATGGTCAAAAAGTGTATGAATTTCAGAAAATCACCGTTTTTGCCGACTTTGAGAGGTCACTGCATCCAATTTAGTTGCGGTCAAAGGCCTCCCTCGACGCCTTACTATTCTGAAGACCCTACTCTTTTATGCCCTGCCTCGGGAAGGCTTTGACCGCTGATAGTTTGGGAGCAGTGGTCTCGCAAAAATGGTCAAAAGTGATTGAATCCCCGAAAGTATGATTGCCATTATTTCATTGGATGATGTTGATTATTTCACTGATTACCAACTAGACGTGCAATGATTATCTTGAGTTGGTACCCCTGCTCGGCTACGCCTGCTTGAGCAATCGCCTAGAAGGCTGGCTGAGGTCGGCAACCCTTTCAACACGAGTGCATCGTCGGAGTCTTTGCCTGGCAACACTGAGGACACTCGCATGCACACCCACAGGCTGAATGCCATCAAGAATATCCAGAAAAAATATTTAAAATTGTGAAAAAAATTGCAAATTAATAACGATTGCTGGATTTGAACCACGTTGAGTCTTAGCAGCGGCGCCCACTCACCCTTGTCACATTCGTCACAGCCGTGAAGGATTGGAATGTCTCCTGCAAACACAAATACAAAAAAATTTAAACCAACAGTTTGGGGAATTGAAATCAAAGTCTAGATTTTTTCGTTTCAGTGTGGGAGTTTATTGGTGGGCCAGAAGATCGGCACAGGTAATCAAAACTCTAGAGACGCGTTTTGAGCTCCAGAGTCGCTAAATGGGACTGGAAGCGAACGAGTGGCGCCACTAATGGATTTCTCGTTCGGAGAGCAATCCATTGGTGGGGTCACACGTTCGGTTCGAGTCCCATTTATAGCGACTCTGGAGCTCACAACGCGTCCGCGTCCACTGTTTTGGCCCTTACCTCTGTTGGGGTACAGCTCGTTGCCCTGCGGGCCGCGCTCGCCCGGCCGTCCAGAGCCGTCCGGCTCGATGGCCACCATGCGGTCCTCCTGCTTGGGGCAGTCCAGCTTGTCCAGCATCAGGCTGGCGTGCATGGCGCCGTGCACCTCCACGGCGTGCTTCCTCTCACGGCTCTGTGGAAGGGAAGAACGGGCTCGGTTAGAGTGGCCACTCCGCGTTAGAGTGACAATTCTCTTTTAGAGTGGCCATCACTTCTGCATTGGAAAAGCCATCACTTCTCCGTGGCTTCAATTCTGCGTTAGAGTGGCCATCACTTCCACGACAGAGTAATCACTGCAGCGTTAGTAAGACCACCACTTCCGCCTTAAGCTAGAGTGACCACCACTTCCGCGATAGAGTGACCACCACTTCCACGTTAGAGTGACCGCCACTTCCGCGCTAGAGTGATCACTTCCGCGTTAGGGTAACCACCAAATACGCCTTAGAGTGACCAGCACTACAACCGTTAGAGTGACCGCCACTTCCGCGTTAGAGCGACCACCACTTCCACGTTAGAGTGACCGCCACTTCCGCACTAGAGTGACCACTTCCGCGTTACAGTGACGACGCTTCGGCACCTACCACGTGCACGGTCTTGGCCTCGGCCTCCACGGCGTTGAACAGCTCCCTGGGCGTGCGGCGCAGGTTGAGCGAGCCCTGCGTCTCGCAGTCCACGTAGAGGCGGGCGCGCGCGCCGGGCTGCCGCTGGTCCAGGTAGAGGACCATGTTCTTGATGGGCTCCTCGGGCGACAGCGGGTCCACGGCCCAGTGCTGCGACTGCAGCTCGCCGTCCTCCGTCGTCACGTCCAGGACCACTGCAAGCGCCCAATCAGAGCGGCAGGCGGATTAAAATCAAAAACAAAAGAAGCAGTGCAGTGGTGGGACTCCAGCACGCCGCACAGTGGGCCAGAAGACCGGTGGAGGCGGCCAAAAATCCAGACGCGTTTTGCGCTCCAGAGTCGCTGAATGGGACTCGAATCGAACGCGTGACCCCACCAATGGATTCCTCGTTCGAAGAGCAATCCATTGGTGGGGTCACAGGTTCGATTCGAGTCCTGTTTAGCGACTCTGGAGCTCAAAACGCGTCCGGGATTTCGACCGCCTCCACCGGTCTTTTGGCCCAGTGCTCGCCGTCATCCGTCGACGACCAAGGACCACGGCAAGCGCCAAATCAAAGCGGCGGGCAAATTTAAAATCAAAATGGCAAATATTTTTTTAAAATTGCAGTGTGCGTGCAACACACCGCGTTGAGCAAGAAGCGCGACAAGGAGGACGCGATGCTCACCATTGTCGAGAGTGGACGGAAAGTCTGCGCGGCAAAGGCAGGCAAAGCCGGTCCTTTTACAGTGGCAGGACCGGCCGCCGTTTGTCACTCATCCTTTAACCTGGTTCGCTCCCCACCCACGCGCCACGTGGCAGAGAGAGAGAGAGAGGGGGGGCGAGCTGTCATGGGATCAACGAGACACGGCAGCAGCGTCGAATTTACAACCGTTTCATTTTTTTCTTCTTCTTAACTTGCTTCCAATGCAAGGCCCAAAATAAGCCCCCAGATGCCCCGCCCCACTCACGCATGTCTCCCCCCTCCCCCTCCCCTCCCCCCGCGGGGCCCACCCCGCGACACACGGCATTCCCGGTCAAAACCACAGCAGAGACACCCACTCACACCACCGGGGCGACACAAGGGGATTTGGCTGTCGGGCCCGCCGTGTGGTGTGGCACTTCATGTGCACTGCACTGTACGCAGAGGCATATTCGGGTCAGGAGGAGGGTCAAGTAGAAGCCGGCACAGTGGGCCAGAAGACCGGTGGGGGCGGCCAAAGCCCGGACGCGTTTTGAGCTCCATAGTCTCTAAATGGGACTCGAACCGAACGTGTGACCCCACCAATGGATTGCTCTCAGAACGAGGAATCCCTCGGTGGTGTCTCATGTTTAGTTCGAGTCCCATTTAGCGACTCTGGAGCTCAAAACGCGTCTAGAATTCTAGCCGGCTCCACCGGTCTTCTGGCCCACTGTTCAGTGGTCACTGTCAGGACGATATGCGGCAACGGCTCTCGCGGAATCAGACTGCCGCGAGGACAAAACTACTACTTCTCGCTACAGCTGCCTTCTGACTTGGCTGCGATCGAGATTCAACGTTTTAACAGCTGATTCACTTCGTGTGGAAAAAAAGAGGAGCCGCCGGTTCGCGAGTTTGGCAGTGCGGTGGCAGTGCCTCTCCCGACTTGACTTCTCCGGCTTTGACATTCCTCACGTGTGAGTGTCTGGACATCCTCGCGACCCCCGCGCGGCACCCACGCGGCCTGTCGCCGCCCCGCCCCGCTCCGTGCCACGCGGATCCGCTGTGGGACACCTGGTGCCTGAGGGGGCACCCGGCCTGCGGGCCGATTCCGAACGAAGTGTATTCCTCTCTCTCTCTCTCTCTCTCTCTCTCTCTCTCTCTCTCTCTCTCTCTCTCTCTCGACGGCTGAGGCAGCCGCGGTCGTTTCGACAGCAGTGCAATAAAGCCAGTGCGTGACGAGCTGGATGCTGGCCCGTGCTGGATCGACGGGCGGTGACGGTCTGACTCGTCTGACTCGGCCCAAAGAGTGGCGATGCATCTCGCCAAATAGGGACGTGCGCCACCAGGCCCCGTCGCACAGTGTGCCAGAAGACCGGCGGAGGCGGCCAAAACCCTTGACGCGTTTTGAGCTCCAGAGTCGCTGAATGGGACTCGTACCGAGCGTGTGACCCCACCAATGGATTCGTCGTTCGGAGAGCAATCCATTGGTGGGGTCACACGTTCGGTTCGAGTCCTGCTTAGCGACTCTGAAGCTCAAAACGCGTCTAGAGTTTTTGTCCGCCACCACTGGTCTTCTGGCCCACTGTGCCTCGGGCCCCGTCGCTCTGTCCCTCTCGCACCCATGCCCATACGAGACGCCCCCCAGGAGAGTGAGAGAGACAGAACGACGAAAACGATGAGTGGAATCAGTCGGCAGGGCGGATCAGCAAGCTGATTCCGAACGGTGCTGCTCTCTCTCTCTCTCTCTCTCTCTCTCTCTCTCTCTCTCTCTCTCTCTCTCTCTCTCTCTCTCTCTCTCTCTCTCTCTCTCTCTCTCTCTATCTCTCTCTCTCTCTCTCTCTCTCTCTCTCTCTCTCTCTCTCTCTCTCCCTCTCTCTCCAGCGTGCGTGTTCGGCATGCCCGCTCGGGGCCCAGTGGCCTGGAGGCATAGTCCGGAGGCGTGAGGCCAAGGCAACGCCAAGGCAAAGCGAAGGCACGAGGCACTTCGAAGGCTGTGCCAAAAGGCCGATGCCGAACGGGTGCTCTCGTCGGTCTGTCTCTCTCGCACCTATAAGGACGTATAAGGAGCGCCCCATGAGTGCGAGAGAGAGGAAGGGAGAGACGTTACGCTCGGAATGAGCCGACAGGCGCGCACAGCCCGCCTTGCCTTATCGGAGTCACCTTGCGTGCATGTCCCTGGGAGGGACGGCACCCCAGCGGGCCCCAGTGGGCCCCAGTGGGCTCCAGTCGGCCCCAGTCGGCCCCAGTGGGCCCCGGTGGGCCCCGGTGGGCCCCACTCCCACGGAGGGATGCGGGATTCACAGCACGCGGTTTCGGCACCGAGAAGTACCCACACGATCGACAGGACAGGTAGCCACGTTTTGCTCGCATGTGAGAATAATTTACACTGCACAGTGGGCCAGAAGACAGGCGGAGGTGAACAAAACTCTAGACGCGTTTCGAGCTCCAGAGTCGCTGAACAGGACTCGAACTGAGTGTGTGACCCCACCAATGGATTCCTCGTTCGAAGAGCAATCCATTGGTGGGGTCACACGTTCGGTTCGAGTCCCATTTAGCGACTCTGGAGCTCGAAACGCGTCCGGGATTTCGGCCGCCTCCACCGGTCTTCTGGCCCACTGTGCGGCGCGCCGAGTGCCACTCACCCTTCTTCTCGTGCCTGTCCAGCGTCAGGACGAACTTGCCCTCGGAGCCGGGGAAGTCCAGGGCCAGCAGCGTCTCCGGGGCGTTCTTCTTGCCGCGGGGCTTGAGGTGCGTCCAGGCCACCACCACACTGTCCTCCTGGAGCGCCGCCTCCAGGCTGGCACCCAGCTCTGGAACAACAAGACCCTCGTCAACGCTTGCACACTAAAAAGAGAGACAAAAACCTTTCTTGAAATGAAAAAGTTAATTGAAACAAGGAAAATTTACTAAATTTTCCTTGTTTGGAGGTTTATGGTGAAGTAAATTTTCCTTTGTTCCGAGGATAGGGTACCCAAATTTTCCTACAGTCGGTGCAAGCTTAAAACCATAAACAGTATTTTGAGTTTGTTTCGCGGAAACAGTTCAAAAATTACGTAGTATTTTAAAAAACTTCGTAATTTTTGAACTAGGTAATTTCCGTTTTTTTCCTTTGAAAGGTCTATAATAATTTGAGAGGTTTTGAGTTGAGAGTGGTAGAACCACAGCACCAATGTCGCACTTCCGTCAACGCGCGGCCATGGCCCCTTACGGAGCTAGGTAGGCCGTCCCGTCGAACAGGGCTGCGTCCGGGACTGCCTACCCGCCAGGCGGTTCCGCCGCTTAAGAGGCCGCCGTGTAAGCAAGCCAGTAGACAGCAACCCCCTTGCAATAAACAGCTTTATTTTTGGTAAAAGTATGTAATTGGCCTAAACAACAATGCCGCAAGAGCTACAACGGGGCGCCGCACAGTGGACCAGAAGACCGGTGGAGGCGGCCAAAATTCAAGACAAATTTTGAGCTTCGGAGTCGCTAAACAAGACTCGAACCAAACCTGTGACCCCACCAATATCCTCGTCCGGAGAGCAATCCATTGTTGGAGTCACTCGTTCGGTTCGAGTCCTGTTTAGCGACTTCGGAGCTCAAAACGCGTCTAGAATTTAGGCTGCCTCCACCGGTCTTCTAGCACACTGTGCTCCACGGCTGATGACCCCTGAAACCGATGACGTCATCACTCAGACTCAACGGACCAGGGAGCATGCCAATTTTTCAACTCCACTCGCCCTAGCTTCGCCACTCACTACGGACCCAGCGGGCGCGACTTACGGCCATCGGTACACTGTTCCGAAAAATAAACTAAAATGCCATTCGGCGGAGCTATTTTTGAACGGGTCGTATTTTAAGGTGGCGGCGGCGCGTCTTTACGGCCGGACAGAGGCCTGGCTTCAAAAGTGTCGCGTGGCCGAGGCCGGCCGAGGCCGTGTTGACCTGCCGCACACACTTGTTGGACAGCACGCCGTCGGCAGCCCGTCGGCACACAGTGGGCCAGAAGATCGGTGGAGCCGGTCGAAATTCTAGACGCGTTTTGAGCTCCAGAGTCGCTGAATGGGACTACCGAACGTGTGACCCCACCAATAGATTGCTCTTCGAACGAGGAATCCATTGGTGGGGTCACACGTTTGGTTCGAGTCCTGCTTAGCGACTCTGGAGCTCAAAACGCGTCATGAGTTTTGGCCGCCTGCGCCGGTCTTCTGGCCCACTGTGCGGCAGGCCGTCGCCAGCACACCGGCAGGCCGAGCCCCCTTCAAATATTTAGCGACCTTGGACACGATGGCCGAAGCTTTTGACACTTTACGGTGGCGTAGGCAATTCGCAACAAGGTACAGAGTGCCACACCGGCAAATGCAAAGAGATATCAGCCAATTTTTAATTTTAATTCTTTTTTTTAAGATTGAAAATTTGAAAGACGCGCGTGCCGTGTCGTCGCGGTCGTCTGTCAGCCAGTCCCAGGCCCGGCCTGAGATACAAATTTACAGTGCGGACGAATTTATTTCACCGCGGCTTCTCGTTAACTACATCGAGGACTTGTTTACGGAAACGGAGACGAGAACGGCCCAGGGCGCGAACCCCCGCTGAACGGCGGGGTGGGGCGGGGCGGGATGGGGTGGGGTGGGGCGGGGCGGGGCGGGGCGGGGCGCGGCGGCCGGGCGCGCCGTGCTCGACACATGGACACCTGGCTGTTCGCCAAGCGGGCGAGGGTAGCGGCCCTACCCCCATTCGTCCTCAAATGTCGCCCCCCCCCCTTCCCTATTCTTCGTCACATGCCTCCGCGCGAAACACACGACGCTCGCTCTCGAAAGTGCACAGCCTGCACTGCGGAGCACAGTGGGCGAGAGGACCGGCGCCGGCGGCCGAAACTCTAGACGCGTTTTGAGCTGCAGAGTCGCGCGGGACTCGAACCGGGCGTGTGACCCCATCAGTGGATTCCTCGTTCGGAGAGCAATCCATTGGTGGGGTCACACGTTCGGTTCGCGTCCCATTTAGCGACTCTGGAGCTCTAAACGCGTTTGGGGTTTTGGCCGCCTTGGCCCACTGTGCTGCGGGCTCGCCTTACCGTGGTCCAGGGCGTGCGACGCGCCGACGGCGGCCTCCGGCAGCAGGGCCGCCATGGCCACCGCGAGGAGCACCGCCCCGGGTCCAAGTCCCCCCAGTCGCCGCATGGCTGCGCCTTCGGCTTCGCCTCGCTGTGCCTCGCTGTCTCGAAGGCCCGCGTCCGCGAGGTGCGCGACCGCGTCCACTGGCGCCGGGGCTGGCGCGCTGCGCGCTGCGCGCTCGCTGTCTCTGGGCAGCGGCTCGGGGACGTCTCGGCGCGACACTCCGCCTCACCGCACGCACGCTCGACTGGGCACGAAGCCGCCACGCCGCAGCCTCTTATAGAGTCGCCATGACACACGGCGACGCACGGACCCACACGGACACACGCGCCTCTCTCTCTCTCTCTCTCTCTCTCTCTCTCTCTCTCTCTCTCTCTCTCTCTCTCTCTCTCCCTCTCTCTCTCTCTCTCCACCCCCCCTCTCGGCTTTCGTGCGTTCATTCGAGCATCCATTCATTCCATCATTCGATCATTCATTCAATCATCCGAGCGTTCATTCAACTATTCGAGCATTCATTCAATCATTCGAGCGTTCATTCATTCCATCAGTCGATCATTTCATTCAATAAGTCGAGCATTCACTCAATCATTCGAGCATTCATACAGTCATTTGAGCATTCGAGCATTCATTCAATCATTCGAGCATTCATTCAATTATACGAGCATTACAATCATTTGAGCATTCGAGCACTCATTCAATCATTCGAGCATTCATTCAATCATTCGAGCATTCATTCAATCACTCGAGCATTCATTCAATCACTCGAGCATTCATTCAATTATTCGAGCATTCACTTAATCATTCGAGCATTCATTCATTCCATCATTCGATAATTCATTCAATCATCCGAGCGTTCATTCAACTATTCGAGCATTCATTCAATCATTCGAGCATTCATTCAATCATTCGAGCATTCATTCAATCATTCGAGCATTCATTCAATTATACGAGCATTCATACAATCATTTGAGCATTCATTCAATCATTCCAGCATTCATTCAATCCTTCGAGCGTTCATTCAACCATTCTAGCATTCATTCAATCATTCGAGTATTCATTCAATCATTCGAGCACTCATTCAACCATTCGAGCTTTGATTCGATCATTCGAGCATTCGCATTCGTTCAGGATTCAACTGGCATTCGTGTTTGTATTCATTCGTTACTCTTCCTTACCATTCCTTTTCGTTCATTCCATTAACTTCCACGGGAAAAACAAAGTCATAAAAGGTATGCCCGATTTACGATTTACGCCCCTGGTACGGGGTTTATCGGTTCACGTCTCTAGAAGGCGAGTGAATTAGTATAGGACTACATGCAAAATTGTCATGGCCTTTCAAAGGCATAACGTTACGCCCTTGAGGGGCCTGAAAGACTCGAACCGAACGTATGACCCCACCAATAGATTCCTCGTTCGAGGAGCAAATCCATTGGTGGACGGTCGGTTCGGGTTCGAGTGCCCATTGAGCGACTCTGGAGCTCAAAACGCGTTCGGGATTAATTTTGATCGCCTTCACTGGTCTTTTGGCCCACTGTGCGCCACCGAGGGCGTAGGTTTATGCCTTTGTTTTTGCCAGTGTATTCATTCAATCGTTTATTAGATCATTCGATCACTCGCTCTTTCGTAAAAGGTTAAAGGGGCGGAGCCGGTTCACTGCCCGAGAACAGGGCCGCGTGTCCCTTCCCCTCAGAAATCCGTTTGTTTTTATTGAACTGGGCTGTGGGGGTGTCGGCAGACTGATTCCGAGAGCCGTCTTCGTCGCTCTGCCTCTCTCGCACCGATGCGGTTCGCCGCCCGTGAGTGTGAGAGAGACAGAACGACGAAGACGACTCTCGGAATCAGTCTGCAGCTCCAAAACGGCACCATTCCGATGCCCTTCCTCCGATCCGATCTCGCCTCCACTTCGGCTACCTTCGGCCCGCTTCGGCCGAGTAGTGCGGCACTCGAAACAGCAGACCGATTCAGAGAGTCTTTTCGTCTCTCTTGCACCCACGCGGGACGCCTCGCGAGTGCGAGAGAGACAGAGCGACGAAATCGACTCTCGGAATCAGTCTGCAGATTGGGATTGGGGGCGTAGCACAGTGGGCCAGAAGACCGGTGGAGGCGGCCAAAACTCCGGACGCGTTTTGATCACCAGAGTCGCTAAATAGGACTCGAACCGAACGTGTGACCCCACCAATGGATTGCTCTCCGAACGAGGAATCCATTGGTGGGGTCACACGGTCGGTCCGAGTCCCATTTAGCCACTCTGGGGCTCAACACGCGTCTAGAGTTTTGACCGCCTCCACCGGTCTTCTGGCCCGCTGTGCGTAGTCTGCTCTCTGAGCATCTCTGAGACCCCTGGCCTGGCCCAGAGACTAGCCCAACGTGAGCAGCCTCGACAATTTGGCCGCTCATTGGAATGGTCAACAGGTGCCGAATCGGCAGGCCTGACCAGCACACTGACTCCGAGAGTCGTTCTCGTCGCTCTGTCTTTCTCGCACTCTTGGGCGTCCCTTAGTGGTGCGAGAGAGACAGGGCGATGAAAACGACTCTCGGAATCAGTCTGCGGCCTTACCCCCCTTGTTGCCAGGCAGATCCTCAGAGGGAGAGGCTGCAGGATGGAGACAGCAGAACAGTATTGTCGTCACAAAAGGCAAAATTTGCCACGAAGAATCAGTGTCCGAGGGGTTGACAACCGTTGACAACTTTGACAAGCAAAAGCACGGTGCCGAGAAGGCGGGCAGGATGGCAATCCACTGAATCGTGGCGAATTTTCCCACTGTCGTGGCAACGCTGCCACAACCTGGGAAAAAATCGCCCCCTTGTCGCCAAGATGCATTCTTGTCGAAAGGGTTGCCTACTTCAGTCAGGCAAAACCGGTCACCCTCGCACCCTAAAGGACAGCCCCGTGAGTGTGACAGAGACAGAGTGGCGAAACGACTCTTCTGAATCGCGTAGCTCGTGGTGGCGCGCGGTGCTTGTCCGAGCGTTGCCTACCTGCCAGGCGCTCCCTCGCTTACTACACAGTGGGCTAGAAGACCGGTGGACGCGGTCGAAATTCTGGACGCGTTTTGAGCTCCAGAGTCGCTGAATGGGACTCGAACCGAACGTGTGACCGCACCAGTGGATTGCCCCTCGAACGAGGAATCCATTGGTAGGGTCACACGTTCGGTTCGAGTTCCCGTGCGGGCGAAAGACTTCCCTCGTCGCTACACCCTGCTCGTGGGACTCGCGCGGGGTATTGACGAGGCAAGGCCCTTCCGTTCGTTGGCCACCGCTCAACGCAGTGACAGCAGGTGGTGGCGCACAGTGGGCCAGGGGACCGGCGCTGGCGGCCAAAACTCTAGACGCGCTTTGAGCTCCGGAGTCGCTAAACTCGACGCGAACGAAACATGTGACCTCACCACTGGATTCTTCGTTCGGAGAGCAATGCATTGGTGGGATCACACGCTCGCTTCGGGTCCCATTTGGCGACTCTGGAGCTCAAAACGCGTCTCGAATTTTGGCCGCCTCCACCGGACTTCTGGCCCACTGTGTGGCGCACTGTGGACACTCAAGTCACCTAACAAGCGGACTTTCATCACAGAAAGCCCTTCTCTGATCACTTTGATACCTTGGCAGGGATGGGAAAGAGAGAGCACTTGCAGAAGCTAAAAGTCTCAAAATATTAAGTTTACTTCAAAATTACATTGATTGTACAGGGTCTGACAATTAAATCACAACATTTTACAAACAAGCACTATATACATTGATAGAAAACCAAGAATGCAGCACACACATACACCACAGCCAGTGAAGTTACTTTATTACAAAAAATATATCAATGTTAAAATTAACATCTCTCAACAATAATTAATTCAAAATATAGAAACAGCATTTTAACAAAGGCACTTATAACAAACAACATTCTTTCCATAAAACATAATAAAATGTTGCCTTCAAACTCAAAAAAATCCATCAAATTTGTCCAGCTTGGGGACTCCTGCTGGGGCAGTTAGTTTTTTGAATTTGGGTGGACCGGCGGGCTTTAGCTTCTTTAAAGGTTTCGGGCTAGGCACAGGGAACTCATCAGCAGCCGAATGGCCCCCCAGGCCATCATACCCTGCACCAAATTGTGATGTGGGCCGTAACGGAGCTTTGAGGTTGGAAGGTTGCAGCCTCTTGCTAAATATATTCATCTTGTTGAACTCAGCAGGCATGGATTGAGTCTTTTTCAACGGCACACCAGAGCCCTTCACAATGAGGGGCCGGACTCCCAAGGCTGGCGAACCGTCCAGCTCCAGTCGCTTGGCTTGCTGCGAGGGTATATTCTCAGTCTGGGACTGTGAGAAACTTCTCCCTGGGCCAGCCTGAAAGAAACCTCAGGTAAGAAAGAGATGGAGATAAAAATCTAATTTGGAACTTAGAACTTGAATATACACTTACTATGACAGGGGTGTGACTATCGTCATCTGTGGTCTCGTCGTCTTCTCGCATCCGCTTGAGGTATTCGGGTGCAGGGCTCTCTGTGATCAGCCTCCTGAGCGCTTTGTCCCGCACATTATCAGAGCTGGGTGATAGAATTGCTTTCTCCAAAAAGTTTATTTTTTCAGTTAGGCTTTTCTTCTCCTGCTCTAGATGGCGGATGTCACTTTCCAAGTGCCTGCAAACAGACAGCAATAATTTCATTTGTTTGATTTTTAGAAGTTAAAGTAACAGAGGGAAAGAACTTACTGCTTTGTGCTATCTGCAGTTTCTAAGGCTGCTTTCAGTTCTCTAATTTCTTGTCTTAACTTGCGTATCTCATTCTTATCAGCATTATGAGATTCTTTCATTTGTTCTCGACGCTCTTTGGATTCTTCAAGAGCTCTATTATAGAAATTAAAGCAAATAAACAATTAAAAAAGGAAAAAGCTGCACTGAAATGAAACGAAAAAATAATATCATTACCGCTTTAAACTAGATGTGAATAAGGCAAGACTTCGCATTCCTTCTTGAGAGAAAGTGGTTGTATCTAGTACCGCCTGCACATCTTCAACATTACCATGAATAATTGTTTCCATTCTAAAACAGAGGATAACAGGGTTTAACAGTGGATAGTATTTTTGCTGCTATTAAATACTTTGTTCATTTGATAGGATCCTGGTACCTTGAAAGTCTGTCAAGTTTTGTTTGAAGAGATGAAACTTTGGCTTTAGCTTGCTCTGCATCTTTGGCTTGCAGTCGCAGATAAGTTACCTTTTCCTCTAAACATTGTCGATGAGTATCAGCATCATCCATTTTCTTTTTGTACTTCACAATTTCATTTCTGTAGATTGAAATACAAAGGTTCAGCAATAGAAAATTGATTGGTTACCTGCAACTTGAAGATACTGAATGCATTGATTAATACCTTAGCCCTTTGTTCACATTTAGCTCTTTATCCAGTTCTTCTTTAACAGATGCAAGATCTCTTTCTTTGCAGCGGAGATTGAAAGAAAGCGAATCCAGCTTATTATTTATAGCCGCAGCATCTTCGACTTCTTCCCCTTCACCTTCAGCCAAATTAAAATAGAGCCTGAATAACTGCTTCTCTGTAGTTTTCTTACGGCATTGTGGACACGTCTTGGACCTGTCAAGATAGTGAAAATATTAGACATATCACAAGGTTACACCAGTGGGGGCAATGAAAAATGGAAACCATACCTCTCAAGCCATCCGATCCAACAGGTATAGTGGAAAAAGTGACCGCAAAGAGCTCCATGGATATCCTCACTGGGGAGCGTAAGTTCTCGACATACAATACACGTCAGACGCATTGTGACAGTACACCTGAAAAACAGAGGCGGTAGTGAATTTACTTCGATTCATTAGTCGGGCGACCACGAGAAAATTTGTTCTTCAGGAAGAAAAGAAATACACAAACACACTCTATAACCTAGCACAGTGCGAAAACAATAAACAATTGCGAGCGAGCGTAAAATTACAGAACAAACCAAAGAAAAACGTGTCAAAAACATACCAAATCAAAACATCGAAAACAGATAAGTAGAAGTTCTCTTGAATTTCGAAAGATTCAGCTCGAAAGAACTAAAACAAGGATTGTTGAGATGTTTTCAAACGACAGCAGCCGATGCGTCAAGGCGGGAAAGCGGCGAACAGACGGCGATATGAGAAATCGCGATGGACGTAAACCGGAAACGCGTTTCATTTGTTCATCCGAAAAGGAGTTGCATTTTAAATCTAGCCGTCGGAACATGATAAGTGTTTTTCCATTCCAATGGCTTTTGACTGGCTGAGGTCTTCGCTTGGCTGTGTTGCACTGTGTCTTTGCTGGGAAGATGTCCCCGAAAACCGCGGCGTCTCCAGCAGCGAGCGGACGCCTCTCGAGTTCCAGCGCGGCAAGAAGACGAAAGTCCTTCCCTCTGTTTACGCCCGCGGTTCGGCGAACCGCCGCCAGGGGGCGCCAGCAGACTGATACCGAAGGTCCTTCCCGTCGCTCCGTCTCTCTCGCACTCACGGGGCGTCCCGTGCAGGTGCAAGAGAGACAGAGCGACGAAGAGGACTCTCGGATGCGCGGCGCTGGTGCGCTGTGCGGGCAGGCTTGGCTACAGGCTTCCGCCGCCGGGCGGTCAGGCTGGTCAGGCTCTGCGTTTTCGCGAGCGCGGAATCAAAACAATCACCGCACTGCTGCGCTGCGGTCCAAGGTCACGATGGGCACCGCGTCCGCCGCGTCCGCGGAGAGCGCCGGTGTGCACACTGCAAGCGCCGAGTGAAGCGGCAGCATGACGGGGGCCTCGGCCGAGCCTAAAGGGCCTCAAGGGGCCGCCGCGGACGACGACACCGCGCGGCTGGTGAGTGTGTACAGTGTGTCAACTCGCACCGCGCGCCCGGCGGCGGCGGGCCGCAGGTAGCTCTCTGAATGCCCTCGTTGACATCGCCGCGGCGGGAGGAGCGGGGGAAGGAAGGGGTGATGGGAACGAATCGCATCGATTCGGCGGGGGGGGGGGGCACGCGAAGCGAGCGCAGCCTGGAGTTCAATCCAGGCTCACTAGAGTCAAGTGGTGCTGACTGACTCCGTCCGGACGGTCGGCCGTCGCGGCAACGCGCGGCAATGGTGAAGATAAGTGTGCTCTCTAGAAAAGCGCGGGAACCGCGGGAAGCGCGGGAACTGCGGGAAGCGCGGGAACTGTGGGAACTGCGGGAAGCGCGGGAACTGCGGGAAGCGCGGGAACTGCGGGAAGCGCGGGAACTGCGGAAAGCGCGGGAAGCGCGGGAAGCGCGGGAAGCGGAGGAAGCGCAGGAACTGCAGGAACTGCGGGAAGCGCGGGAAGCGGAGGAAGCGCAGGAACTGCGGGAAGCGCGGGAAGCGCGTGAACGCGCACCCTGCTGCCCAGTTTTGCCACGGACGCTCGCTTCCTACCCTCGGGTACGTCTACTTCAGTAAACCCTCCGGACACGCTCGTCCGAGCGCTCGTCGCCCTGGAGTTCCCCACGGACCGGAGGACGCGGCAAATATCCTAGACGCGTTTTGAGCTCCAGAGTCGCTAAATGGGACTCGAACCGAACATGTGACCCCACCAATGGATTGCCCTCCGAACGAGGAATCCATTGGTGGGGTCACACGATAGGTTCGAGTCCCATTTAGCGACTCTGGAGCTCAAAACGCGTCCAGATTTTTGGCCGCCTCCACCGGTCTTCTGGTCCACTGTGTGCTGGACGCGCGCTCTGTTGCAGCTGAAGGGGGTGATGCTGAAGCTGCTGCCGTTCTTCAAGGCCGTGGTCATCTACTTCGTCGTGATGCCCGCGGACACGCCGACCTGGCTATACGTCCTCGTCAAGGTCATGCCCGTGCTCAGCCTGGTGCTCTTCGTCGTGCTGCACGAGGGCCACAGGCTGAGCCTCCCCGGCTATCAGTACGTCACAAAAAAATCATGTTTTCAAAAGTTACATTCGGTAACTTTAAAAAAATGTAGTTTTGTTTTTTGAAAATAATTTTTGTAATTTTTTAAAAAAATCTTAAATGTTTGCAATAATTTTTTTTTTTTAATTTTGTAAGTTGAAAGTTGGTTTTTAATTTGCCCTGTTTTTAAGGTGTCGGTTCTCGCGCCGCGTGGCTCTGGCGCTGGCGCTGTCCGCCTTCGCCGACGCGCTCCTCGTCTGGCCGTCGCAGTTCCTGACCGGCATGTTCGTGTTCGTGGCCGTGCACCTGCTGTACATCGCCGCCTTCGGCTTCCGCCCGCTGCGGCCCGCGCTGGGCGTGGCGCTGTACGCAAGCAGCGCCTGGGGTAGGTATCCAGTGGGCCAGAAGACCGGCGGGGGCGGCCAAAACTCTGGACGCGTTTTGAGCTCCAGAGTCGCCAAGCAGGACTCGAACCGAACGTGTGACCCCACCAATGGATTCCTCGTCCGGAGAGCAATCCATTGGTGGGGTCACAGGTTCGGTTCGAGTCCCATTTAGTGACTCTGGAGCTCCAACGCGTTCGGGATTTCGACTCTGGCACTGGTGGCATTCTCCGTAATTGATTTCCCCGCGATCCAGGCTAAATTTCGTTTGTTGTTGTTACAGCGGTGAGCTTCCTGGTGCCGGGGCTGAAAGGACCTCTGGTGCTGGCCGTGCCGTTGTACACCGCGGTGCTGGTCACCATGTTGTGGAGAGCCGTGGCGCGGGTATGCATCTGGGTAGCGGCGGCACGCAATGCGCCGGTGGAGGCGGCCAAAACTCTAGACGCGTTTCGAGCTCCAGAGTCACCAAATGGAACTCGAACCGAACCTGTGACCCCACCAATGGATTGCCCTCCGAACGAGGAATCCATTGGAGGGGTCATACGTTCTGTTCGAGGCCTGTTCAGCGACTCTGGAGCTCAAAACACGTCCAGGGTTTTGGCCGCCTGCATCGGTCTGGCCCACTGTGCGGCAGAGGCTGCCTCCGGGGTCGAGCAGCAGACCTTTTGCAGTGCCGGCGGGCAGGGGCGCCGGAAGTGGGGTGCAGGGTGGGCAGGCTGCCCCCCCCCCCTGGAATTTGGCAGGGGGGGCATCGCCCCCCCTGGACTTTGGTGGGAAGCTGCGAAAATCGAGCCAGGCGGGCGGGCACCGGTCGCGCAAAGTATCTCCGCAGTGAGCGGCGAGACGCGGCGCGGCGGCCTCTTCCCCCTCCCCCTTGAATTGAATAATTTATATTAGTATTAGGGTCAGTTGGAGCAATTATAGGACACGGGGTAAAAATGGGACAGCATATTCCAAGGGGTACCCGACTCAAGATAATCATTGCGCGTCTAGTTGGTAACCAGTGAAATAATCAACATCATCCAATGAAATGACAATCATACTTGCGGGGATTCAATCACTTTTGACAATTTTTGCGAGACCACTGCTCCCAAACTATCAGCGGTCAAAGCCTTCCCGAGGCGGGGCATGAAAGAGTAGGGTCTTTAGAATAGTAAGGCGTCGAGGGAGGCCTTTGACCGCAACTAAATTGGATGCAGTGACCGCTCAAAGTCAGCAAAAACGATGATTTTTTTGAAATTCTTTCACTTTTTGACCATTTTTGCGAGACCACTGCTCCTAAACTATCAGCGGTCAAAGCCTTCCCGAGGCAGGGCCTGAAAGAGTAGGGTCTTAAGAATAGTAAGGCGTCGAGGGAGGCCTTTGACCGCAACTAAATTGGATGCAGTGACAGTTCAAAGTCAGCAAAAACGGTGATTTTCTGAAATTCATTCACTTTTTGACCATTTTTGCGAGACCACTGCTCCCAAACTATCAGCGGTCAAAGCCTTCCCGAGGCGGGGCATGAAAGAGTAGGGTCTTTAGAATAGTAAGGCGTCGAGGGAGGCCTTTGACCGCAACTAAATTGGATGCAGTGACCGCTCAAAGTCAGCAAAAACGATGATTTTTTGAAATTCTTTCACTTTTTGACCATTTTTGCGAGACCACTGCTCCTAAACTATCAGCGGTCAAAGCCTTCCCGAGGCGGGGCCTGAAAGAGTAGGGTCTTAAGAATAGTAAGGCGTCGAGGGAGGCCTTTGACCGCAACTAAATTGGATGCAGTGACAGTTCAAAGTCAGCAAAAACGGTGATTTTCTGAAATTCATTCACTTTTTGGCCATTTTTGCGAGACCACTGCTCCCAAACTATCAGCGGTCAAAGCCTTCCCGAGGCGGGGCATGAAAGAGTAGGGTCTTTAGAATAGTAAGGCGTCGAGGGAGGCCTTTGACCGCAACTAAATTGGATGCAGTGACCGCTCAAAGTCAGCAAAAACGATGATTTTTTGAAATTCTTTCACTTTTTGACCATTTTTGCGAGACCACTGCTCCTAAACTATCAGCGGTCAAAGCCTTCCCGAGGCGGTGCATGAAAGAGTAGGGTCTTTTTAAGCACCTTTTTTGGTGGGGGAGGGGGGTAATTAGGAACGTAGGATTTAAAATTGTTTGCCCCCCCTGAGGAAATACACTTCCGGCGCCCCTGCCGGCGGGCGTGTATCGGGCCCGAAATGGCATACGATCTTGTATTATCTAGCCCTTAATGGTAATGGTAATGACGGGTAGGCAGCCGCGGCTTGCCGCACTCTTGCGTGCTGTGCGGGCGGCCTACGCCAGCGCCGTTCCATTGCCATTACCAGTAAGGGCTAGTCGCGGGGCTAGTCCACCCGTCGCGGTGCCCGCTGCAGCAGACTGATTCCGAGAGTCGTTTTCGTCGCTCTGTCTCTCTCGCACCCCGACGGTACGCCGCTCGAGTGGGCGGGAGAGACCAGAGCGACGAAAACGCCCTTTGGAAGCAGTCTGGTTGGTTGTCTATGGTCTGCTAGTGATTGACGGACTTGCCGCCCTGTCCTGCAGGATTGGGACTTCCGGACGCTCGTGCCCGGCCATTGGTTCAGGCTCTGCCCGGCCGTGGGGGGGATGCTGTTCGTCGCGTCCTCATCGGATTCCACATGTTCCACAGGCCCATCCCTCACTCCCAGGTAAACAGCTTGACCGGACGCGTGCAGAGCTCCAGAGTCGCTAAATGGGACTCGAACCGAACGTGTGACCCCACCAATGGATTGCTCTCCGGACGAGGAATCCATTGGTGGGGTCACACGTTCGGTTCGAGTCCTGTTTAGCGACTCTGGAGCTCAAAACGCGTCTAGAGTTTTGTCCGCCTCCACCGGTCTTCTGGCCCACTGTGGGGCGGTCATAATCCCGGACGCGTTTTGAGCTCCTGAGTCGCTAAATGGAACTCGAACCGAACGTGTTACCCCACCAATGGATCGCTCTCCGGACGAGGAATCCATTGGTGGGGTCACACGTTCGGTTCGAGCCGTTGAGCGACTCTGGACCTCAAAACGCGGCTAGTTTTGGCCGCAGGCGCCGGTGTTCTGGCCCACTGCGACTTTTCCGTAATCAACATTCGACTGTTAAAGTTGCCAACAAAAACGTTGCGGCTGATTGGTTGTTGTAAATTTCAGGTCCTGATCATGACCACCTACTACACTGCCCAGCTGGGGATGGCCCTGAGCATCCTCAGCCGCAACGCCATCATGTTGAAGGAGCTCCAGGAGAGTGACAGGGAACTGAACGTGGGCGTAGCGCCGCGTAGCCCTTCAACAACGTCTCACAGTGGGCCAGAAGACCGGTGGAGGCGGCCAGTACTCTAGACGCGTTTTGAGCTCCAGAGTCGCTAAATGGGACTCAAACCGAACGTGTGACCCCACCCATGGATTGCTCTCCGAACGAGGAATCTATTGGTGGGGTCACACGTTCGGTTCGAGTCCTATTTAGCGATTCTGGAACTCAAAACGCGTCTGAAGTTTTTGCCGCCTGAGCTGGTCTTCTGGCCCACTGCAAGGGGAAACTACTTCGAAAAAATGTGTACACCTAATGCAAATTCAAAAAATATTCAACAAAATTCAAAAAATTCAGTGAAATTCATAAAATTAAAAAATTCACCAAAATTCTTTGAAATTCATCAAAATTTTTAAAAATTCACTGAAATTCATAAAATTCATTGCATTTGCTCCCTCGACGGGCAATTGGTCTTTGGACCTTCCTTTAGCATGCCTTTGTTACGGAGTGCAATTATCAGTCTTAGTTTGGGAGCAGTATTGTCTCAAAGTTGGCCGAAACGCTCAGAAATGTCTATGAAAAATCGTGTTTTGGGCCGATTTTAAGCAGCCACTGCGTCTGATCCAAGGCGGGCATTTTGCTCCCTCAACGGGCAGTTGGTCTTTAGACCTTCCTTTAGCATGCCTCTGTTACGGAGTGCGATTATCAGTCTTAGTTTGGGAGCAGTATTGTCTCAAAGTTGGCCGAAACGGTCAACAGTGTCTTTGAAAAATCGTGTTTTGGGCCGATTTTAAGCAGCCACTGCGTCTGATCCGTGGCGGGCATTTTGCTCCCTCAACGGGCAGTTGGTCTTTGGACCTTCCTTTAGCATGCCTTTGTTACGGAGTGCAATTATCAGTCTTAGTTTGGGAGCAGTATTGTCTCAAAGTTGGCCGAAACGCTCAGAAATGTCTATGAAAAATCGTGTTTTGGGCCGATTTTAAGCAGCCACTGCGTCTGATCCAAGGCGGGCATTTTGCTCCCTCAACGGGCAGTTGGTCTTTAGACCTTCCTTTAGCATGCCTCTGTTACGGAGTGCGATTATCAGTCTTAGTTTGGGAGCAGTATTGTCTCAAAGTTGGCCGAAACGGTCAACAGTGTCTTTGAAAAATCGTGTTTTGGGCCGATTTTAAGCAGCCACTGCGTCTGATCCGAGGCGGGCATTTTGCTCCCTCACCGGGCAGTTGGTCTTTGGACCTTCCTTTAGCATGCCTTTGTTACGGAGTGCAATTATCAGTCTTAGTTTGGGAGCAGTATTGTCTCAAAGTTGGCCGAAACGCTCAGAAATGTCTATGAAAAATCGTGTTTTGGGCCGATTTTAAGCAGCCACTGCGTTTGATCCGAGGCGGGCATTTTGCTCCCTCAACGGGCAGTTGGTCTTTGGACCTTCCTTTAGCATGCCTTTGTTACGGAGTGCGATTATCAGTCTTAGTTTGGGAGCAGTATTGTCTCAAAGTTGACCAAAATAGTCACAACGATTTTTCAAAGACACTTGCGACCGTTTTGATCGACTTTGAGACAATACTGCTCCCAAACCAAGACTGACAATCGCACTCCGTAACAAAGGCATGCTAAAGGAAGGTCCAAAGACCAATTGCCCGTCGAGGGAGCAAAATGCCCGCCTCGGATCAGACGCAGTGGCTGCTTAAAATCGGCCCAAAACACGATTTTTCATAGACATTTCTGAGCGTTTTGGCCAACTTTGAGACAATACTGCTCCCAAACTAAGACTGATAATTGCACTCCGTAACAAAGGCATGCTAAAGGAAGGTCCAAAGACCAATTGCCCGTCGAGGGAGCAAAATGCCCGCCTCGGATCAGACGCAGTGGCTGCTTAAAATCGGCCCAAAACACGATTTTTCATAGACATTTCTGAGCCTTTTTGCCAACTTTGAGACAATACTGCTTCCAAACTAAGACTGATAATTGCACTCCGTAACAAAGGCATGCTAAAGGAAGGTCCAAAGACCAATTGCCCGTTGAGGGAGCAAAATGCCCGCCTCGGATCAGACGCAGTGGCTGCTTAAAATCGGCCCAAAACACGATTTTTCATAGACATTTCTGAGCGTTTTGGCCAACTTTGAGACAATACTGCTTCCAAACTAAGACTGATAATTGCACTCCGTAACAAAGGCATGCTAAAGGAAGGTCCAAAGACCAATTGCCCGTCGAGGGAGCAAAATGCCCGCCTCGGATCAGACGCAGTGGCTGCTTAAAATCGGCCTAAAACACGACCCCAGCATCGCCGCGACCCCTTAAAAAAATTTCGCGACCCCGCTTGGTGGCGCGACCCTAAGGTTGAGAACCACTGTCCTAGATGGCGTGGGCGATCAAAGGCCCAAAAATTTATTGAAATTCATCAAAATTCCATTAGAAAACAGAGAAATTCATAGAAATTCATCTAAATTCATGAAATTCAAAAACTGCAGCCAAGTTCAAAAATTTCATCAAAATTCAAAAAGAAATCTTGAAAATTCACAAAAATTCATTAAAATTTGTCAAAATTCATAAAAATTCAACAAAAATGCAAAAATTTCAAAAAATTCATGAAATTCACGGCCATGTACACCAAAATTCAAAGTAGTTTCCCCTTGGCCCACTGTGCGTTTGCGTCCCGCAGCGCAAAACGGAAGCACAGTTTCTTCTCTTTGTCTCTGTCGCACTGATGGCGCATCCGGGATGGGTGCGAGAGGAACAGACCGGCGACGGCCCTTCTGAGACCCGCAGACCCGTCGTGCGAGTAGAACATTACACTGTCATTTTATCCATCACTGTCATTCCCTTCCCCGTTTTGCCTTTGATTCGTTTGGAAACTTAAGTTGTTTCGTGTTCAGCAGAGAATGTTGGAGTTTAGTTGAAACATCGGCTCCGTGTTTTGACTGATATTCACCTGATGGTTGATCACCTGATTGTTGATTATGAGGTGGTACTTGTTTCCTTATAGTGATAGACTTATGGGATCATAGTGGACCCGTCCTTTATGCATTCTTCTACTTGTGATTTACTGTTACTCTTGTAAGATTGTGCAAAAGTGTCATGCCAAAGTATTTGTGAGATTATTTTAACTTTCTTGTTGAATGTAGTTTGTGTGATTTAAAAGTGACGTCCCTAAAGTGGTCTCGACTTGATCTAAGACAATTGTGTATTTATTTACATTTACCCCAGATAACATACCAGATTATTCGACACATCTCATGATTTCAACCCTGACTGCTCGAATAAATTAAATTGCCTCAGCGACTTGACCTGAAACGGCTTGGACGTGAACGGGTGCACTAGGTCACAGTGGGCCAGAAGACCGTTGGAGGCGGCCAAAGCTTTAGACGCTCCAGAGTCGCCGAGCATGACTCGAACCGAACTTGTGACCCTACCACCGGTTCCTCGTTCCGAGAGCAATCCATTGGTGGGGTTACACGTTCAGTTTGAGTCTCACTTGGAGTTCAAAACGCGTTCGGGATTTCGACAGCCTCCACCGGACTTCTGGCCCACTGTGCAGGTGGGGGCCAGATGGGTTGCATAACCATCAGGCGCTCGGGGCCACGGCCACGGCTTGGCCGGGCATGGCTGCGATGGGCTTTCAGGATTTTAGATAGGCTGCGATGGCTGGCATGGCAGCGTCCAGTTCACTCCACTCCTATGCTTGATCCGAGGAGAGAGAGTCCTAAAAGTTGATCAGAAGCTACATAGCTAGGTGTTTTCCTCCTATGCGGGGAAGTCCGACAATCGTACCTCGGGTACCTGGTTCAATCGTTCAGGCGTTGTGTTCTGTTTTCACACCCACTGAATAATTCTGATTTAGAAAGAAATCTAATCAATTTTTCTCGGTTCGGTAGGGTTGAAACAAAGTTAAAAACAGACAAGGAAAAATCACATAATGTTATATTGAAAAGACACAAAATTGTTAGTCATCGCTGTCACTGTCATAATAATGATAATAGTCACGGACATAATGATTATAATAGACATTATTTGAGGTATAATAGGGGGATTGGCTCAAATAAGGAGATACAGAGGAGCAGGCCGTGATCCCAAAATCGTAGAATTTAAAGAAAAACAGTGCATACGTAACAAAATAGGTAACAACATCCCAAAGTTGAACGCCATACCGGAAATTCTTATGCATTATCAAAAGAACCAAAGAAATTACAGATAATCCAATTAAAAAACAAATGAGACCCTTGAGCAAACACACAAAGACGTGTGCTATCTGATCTACAAACTTGGCAGTGGCATCAAAAATATCAGAAATTACACACTTGGCATGGGAGAAGTCTGGAACCCCAAAGTAGAATCTAAAGAAAATGAATGCATACAAATAAAAAAGCAACTGAACTTCCACAGAAAGAGTGCCAGATTTGAATTTCTCAGGGAAAATTGCATGAGTTATGAAAAAAGTTACAAATAATCCAGCTGAAAACAAGATGAGACCCTTGAGCAAACACACAATAATGTGTGTGAGACCCTTGAGCAAACACACAATAATGTGTGCTATGCGATTTACAAACTTGACAGTGGCACATATGGTATAAGTAATATCAGAAATCACAATTTTGACGGTAATAGAGGGAGGCAGAGTCCAGAATGGGAAGAATTTAACGAGAGCCAATGTATACATAATACAAGACACATTAAATATCTTGTTAATGTTAAGGTGATTTCGGAAAATAAGAAACAAAATATCCTCAGTTGTCAATAAAATCAGACCAATAGTCCAAAATCCACCAAAAAGTAAGGCCATAAACCTGAGCAAAAACACAAAGATGTATACCATGCGAACTATCAACTCAACAGTGGTGCAAATGGTATGCCAAAAGTCCAAAATCATTAAATTGGCTCTGGTATAAAACTGTTGAACATCACCAGCCAATCTGATGAAAATAAGAATTGAACTCAAAACAAAGTCTCTAACAAGAGGTATAACATACTTGGTAATGGCAACTTCTAAAGTAAATATGATAGTCAGGGCTAGTGAGAGAAGTGAGAAGTTCACATGTGTGACCTCCTCCCTCGGTCCGTCACTGTAGCTCACAGATGAATCATTGAGCCCTGATTGTATTGGATCATCACAGGCCATTTTAGAGCTCTTTTCGGATGCAGTGGAGGTGATGCCTTCGGTGCTGGAGCCTCCATAGAGCTGAGGTTGAGTATCATCATGAGCCATTTTAGACATCTTGTTGGAGAGTCCCTTTACAGTTTTTACAAAGTGTATGACATAAGCTGGACAGCACTCCATTGGACCTTTCTCTAATATCCTCTTACATAGAAGCATTTGACTGTTAGACCTATCACACTTGAGGCTAGCCTGATGGGCATGCTTGTAAAATGTTGCTTGTCTCCAAAAACGTTCGAATGCAGGAAAGCTTTGACCATGGAAGCCCAGCAGAATGGATTGTATGGTATGAGTGTCTGATCCATAATAAACCGTTTGGATCAAAACCTGGCCAGATTTATTCAAGCATTCTTGTTTTCTTCTTTCAAATTTCTCTGATATTCCTTTATAGATAATCTTGTCTATTTGCGTAGTTGCAAAAGAAAACTCCTTGGTGAAACACGTCATTTGAAACTCTGAAACAGAATCAAAGAAAAATCCTATTGGAATGACCCAGTGTAGGTTCGAAAGACCTTTTCCAGCTTTAATCACATAATTTGCCCACAAGGTAGCATATTTAGGCAAAATTCATAAATACAACAAATGGGTCAACGACTAACCTTTCTTAATCTGAATATACTCAGAACATGATTGATCCAAGGTTTTCACTCCTTCATCAGTCCGTTCCATCCTATAGCCGGGGGCTTGCAGTGGCTCTAAAGAAAATCAACAGGTTGTTACGGCAGATCAATATAAAACATAAGTCACGCGGTTGAAAGTGAAAAACGTTAGGTGAACGGTTTATCCTACCCGCATTAGAGACCCGCATGTGCTTCCATCCGACGCGACGACCCTTAGGAACTTTTTAACTCCGAGACCGAGACGAGGGAATACCCCGCGTCGCCCCCCCCCTCCCCCGCTCCCACTGCTTCCCCCCTCCCCCTCCTCCATAGCAACCCGACCGGCAACGATGGCCGTGTTTGTAAACAATCCGAGAGACGAGGCGGACTCTGGCAGCGAAACCGTCGGCTCAGTTTGGACCGTCAGTGGTCGTGTTCTTTTGGACATGTTTCACGAAGAATTTGAGTGCGGATGAAAAGTTCTCAGGGTCTGTGCAATGCCACCTTACCCTTGACGAAAGGTTGGTCTGTTTCCAGAACCGGTGTGATTGCCTAACCTCAACCAGTGGCACCATTTTCTACGAATTCATGATTAACATGTCGCTGGTTGAGAGTCTGGTGTGCCATTCTTTGCACGCATCTTGAGCAGATTCATAGGGCCAAGTGTCAATTCGTATTTCGCATTTATTGTTTCAGGTGTAGTGGGTTGTCAGGATGGCTGATTATCGCTTGGACTGGGTTAAAGACAGGGCTTTGGCCTTCCTTGATGAGGATGACGAAGATTTGTTTGATGAAATGCTGGCCAGAAATGATGGTGAACTGGAGGACCGTTTACTTTCCTATCTTGATGATGACATCATGGGGGCTCATGATATTGGAAGGAAATTGTTTTTCGTTTACAAGACATACTATGAGAAAATAGTTAAAGAGGAAATTGTCGTTGCAGAAGAAGGTATTTTTCATTAATAGGTGGTTGTGATTTGATGTTTGTTTTTCGCCTCATAGAGAGACTTTGTTTCCAGTCGCGCCTCCAACTCCACCACCCCCAGAACCGGAGCCCGAGACAATCATCAGGAAAGGCAAGGGCAAAGGTGGCAAAGGTGGGAAGGCTGCCAAGGCTGCGAAAGGTGGGAAAGCAGCGAAGAAAGGGAAGAAGGGGAAGAAAGGCAGAGACGAATCTCCTCCCCCCGCACCAACCGAACCAGAGACAGAGCTTCAGATCGAAATAAGTGAAGCTGATCCAGCCGCTGAATCACCAACCGAAGTGGGCCCCGAGGAGGATGTGGAGGAAGAAGGGGTTCAGGAAGAGGAGGCAGCAGAAGAGCCGTCCCCAGCTGAGCCATCTTCAGAGGAAAAGGACTCCCCAGAAGGGGACACCTCTGAATCTCCAGAGGTTCCAACAGGATCAGAGGGTGGCACTGCTCACTCTTCTCCTACGCTTGAAGAAGGTCAGATCTTTTTCTGCTTTTGTTTTCAAATTTATCAAGTCCCATTTGGCAGACTTTAAATCTGGTTTACCTTTGGCCATATTTTTCAGGAGCTGAGGAGGAGGACGCTTTACCTGAAGATGACATTCAGCCAGATGAAGCTGAGGAGGATGTTGGCTACATGTCTTCAGAAGATCAAGGCCCGTCCCCAGAATTAGAAGATCCAGGAGGTGGGGGTGAAGGAGAAAATGTCGGAGAAGATGCTGAAGCTCCAGAAACACCTACAAAAAAGAAGGGCAAGAAAGGAAAAAAAGGGAAAAAAGAGAAGAAAACAAAAAAAGGCCGGAAAAGCCCTCCCACTGGTTAGTAACCCTTGCCCCCTTTTTGCATTCTGTAGAAAAAATTTGACATGTTTTCATCATTTATATTTTTGTTTCTTGGTTCACCTTAGCTGTGGAGATGGTTCCTGCCATTGAAGAAATTCCTGAGCCACAATTCATTTATGTCTCTGTGAGTTCTTCCTGACTGTTTTGAAAATATGCTTTCCTCATGTTTTGAGCTAACAAGTATTGCTTTTTCTAGAAAACAATTGAGCGGGTAATTCATGCCCCTCAACTTCACGGGCATTTGGGTATGCTGGATGAAAATGAACGAGCAGCTCCTGGGCGCCAATATGTTTACTTTCTCCGTATATCTGAAGAGGGCATTCCCCTGCCTGAAGGGCCAGGAGATGCAATTGCAGATATGCCCAAGCATTTTATTGTGGGGTGCACCACTTCCAATTTTATTGGTTCAGTGTCAAAACTTTTGAAAAAGGTAGAAAAATATTAATTTTGGTTCTGTTTTGGGCACTGGGCTTTATCTTTCCGAGGGTGAAGTGTTTGGGGTTCTTTGATACTTTACTTACATCTTGCTTTTCCAAGGCATACATTCCTCTGGTCCAGAGGCAATTTCGGGAACCAACCTCTTCAGGGGAAGGTGAACATGACACGAATTCAGTTGTCAGCAGTGCTATTTTCAAACGGCCATCAGATTATCGCCGAATGTGCTTAAACATACTGAAGGTAGTTGGAATGCAACATCTATTGTTATTGTTTACATTGTTTTGGTCATAGTTTCAATTCTACATCTAATATTTTCAGGTTGAGAAGGCGTCCAAAAAGCCAAAGCCAACTGCCAAGCAGGAAACTGGCTCTGTCTTAGATGCGACCATTCAATCTGCTCAAGAAGTGCTGGAAGCAGCTCAAATTGCCGAGGAGCAACAGATATCTGCGACCTCGTCGGCATTGAATGCAATGGCTGCAACGGCATCAGCGTCCGTAGCATCATTTGGTGCTGGCGCTGGAGCCAGTGGGGATGGCCCAGGCAAACACTCGGATGATGTGAAATCAGAGAGCATATCAGAGGACACAGCCAGTACAGGCAACATGCCCACCAAACAAGAGCTGCTCAGTGATATCAAGTCCTTCATATCCTCTGTGGATTGGTACATAAATCAAGTATTCCCCATACTTAAGATTTAAAACTACTTCATATTTAATGTGGGATGTTTTTCTGTCCTCTAGGACTATTCAGCATTTGGAAGGAGACAACACGTTGCATGTTCCAGTTGTTCCAGCTCTATGGGTTCAAGGGGCAACCCCTGAAACCTTGGCGGAAGATCCTGCTCTAGTTGCAGATCTTGAAAGCATTGTAACACAGTGGGAAAGGCATATAGTATCTGTTATTGATGGGTACATGGCAAAGGTAAAAATCAAACTATTAGTTTGTTTTATACATCTCTGTGTTTTCATGCCATCAGTTTTTAATTGAGTTTTAATTAATTTTCAGAAACCTGTTGGTGAAGGTCCACTTGCAGAATTTGAGTATTGGCAAGAACGTGATGCTGGACTGAGCTTATTGGTTGAGCAGTTCAAGGCACCATCGGTAGTATTGATTCTAGATGTTCTTGCTGCTGCATCATCTAAGATTGGAGAATATTTTGAAACCTTTAAATCTGAGTTCATGGTCACTTATGAGCAGGCAAGATATAATGTGAAATTTCTATCAACAGTTGTACGCCATTTCAAGGTAAAGTTCTCTGGTCAGTTTTTTCTCTTTGTTTTATTTTTATGTCCTGATTTGTTTGCTTAGTTAAAGTTTTTATTTGCAGACAGTTGAACATAATCAAGATCTTGGAGCTGTGAGAGATTCATTGCCTGCTCTCATAGATGGTCTTCACATGCTATGGGTTGTGTCAAGGTTCTATTGTAATGAAGACCAAATGGTGCCGCTAATGCTTCGCATTTCAAACACTCTATGTACTAAAGCATCAACAGCTCTTCAAGTCAAGACACTCTTTAAGTATGAAAGGATACTACACAAATTAATTTCAATGTACTAAGTGGGCCAATTCTTGATATTTTAAATTTTGAATTCCAGGCTTCCTCTGGTGCAGATTTTGCAACAAACCAAAGAGGCTGAAGAGATGCTTCAGAAGTGGCGCAGCTGTTACATGGATACGCGAGCTCGTATTGAAGCTTCTGGTAAAGGACAACGCTGGGAGTTTGATAAGAATAAATTGTTCTCCAACAGTGATTATATTGCCAAAGTATGTGGGAATCTTCATGAGGTATCAAAGGTAAAGATAAACAGTTCTCTTTATTGACTCTAAAACTAGTGTGTCAGTATATATTATTTTTACATACTTTATTCTTTTTTTTTTTAGAATATTCAAGAGTTTAGAAATATTTTTGGCCAAGAGCTTAAATCAATCATTAGCGATCCAGCTCAAATTGATGCTGTTGTTAAGAGGGTCGAGGCTCTAGTAGTGCCTATTGAAAGTGCGGATTTTGATATCTTCTCTAGAGGCTATGCTGAAAATTGGGATGCTCTTATGAGCTCCTTTAGGCACCACGTTGAAAGACTGGAAGAGGAAGCTAAATTTTTTATTGATGAATCCTTTAAAGCTCTGAGGTATGCAGGAATATTATCTTATCTGATCTTAGATTATTTTTTTCATAAGAAGGAACACTTTTATGATTTATCCTAATATTAAACTCGTTGTTTAGGTCGTCCACAGAGGCTCTTGAGATGCTTCTAAAATTCAAACATATGGAAACCAGAAAGGCTATTCAAGAACAGCTTATGACCAAGTTTGACTTGATTATGCAGCAATTTAGTAAGGAGGTGTCTAACATTGAACACATATTCACTGTAAGTAATAACCATAGTTTTTGTACATCAAATAAAAGTTTTTAAATTGGTTTATTCCATCTTTGCCAGCCTATTTGACAGATTTGTAATCTTTGGCTTTAGAAAGGTAAACGACACCCTCCTCTCCTACGCAATCAACCACCTGTGGCTGGGGCCATTTTCTGGGAGAGGCTTCTGTTTCAAACATTAAAGAGACCTGTCCTTGTTTTTCAAACTGTGGAGGACTTGAAAAAGTGTGAATTAATGAAAGAGGTAATTAATACCGACTGTTTTATTTTATTTTCCTTTTATTTTTGGAGGATGGTCCAGAACTAATGTGACATTATTTTCCATTCTTTATCTTTTCTTCCAGGCCTTTGCTGACTATTTGCAAGTTGGTAAACAAATGCAGCAATTTGAGTTGAGTCGTCTAGATTCGTGGGTCACCAAAGCCCAAGAAGATATAAAACAAGCCATGACAAGAAATGTTATGAGATTGGAAGAGAGCGTGCGTGAGTATAAATCATCTCTTTGCCCTTTGGAATTTGAAAAAAAATTAATTTTGTGGATTTTAAAAAAGTGTTTATTTTTGTAAACAGACGCATGTTTTCGGAAAAACAACAAATTTTCTGCCCGTAGTGGAAGAAGACATAATATGGGGCTGCAAAGATCATCTTTTCGCATGACACGAATGGGATCACAACAAACTTTTACTTCAAGTCAATCATCCATGACACGTTTTGGTCACTCCAATGCCATGACCACCAGACAAAGCATGATGTCTGTCAGCCAGGGAGCTTCTCAAGGAATGGGCTTGGGCTCTGTAGCCATTGGCTTAAAGTGGGCAGCAAGAGGACGATCGAAAACTGGAAGCAATCAAAAAATGACTTTCCCTGGACCATCATATTCTTTCACTTGGGAAGACTTCATAGGAGACTCAGTTTTGGTGGAAAACAATTTAAGACTGGAAGTAAATTTTGATCCTGATCTACTAAGTGTCATTGCTGAAGCTGAACTTTTAGAAATTCTGGGATATGATTTGCCGGTTCCCATAAAAATGGTAGCTTATCAAAAGGATCGATTCCATGCAGATTATCAAGCAATCTGCAAACTTGTGTCTGATTATAACAATCTAGTAGATCGACTAGATATACCTCAACTCCTATTTGTGAAATCGCATTTAAGAGAAGTTGAGAAGCAAATGCAGCCTGGCCTTTCAAGAATCAACTGGACTTCTCAAGGAGTTTGTGACTTTGCCCTAGGCTGCCAACAAGTCCTAAGAAACCTTGTGTCGCTTGTGAGTCAAATGGAAGCTGTGTCTGTGGAGGTGGCCCAAAGACTCACGCAATTAGAGCAGTACAACCTTTTCTTTGTGGAATCCCATGAAGAAAGCACAGACTGCCTGGGCTGCAAAGATTTTTTCTCTGAGATGGACCTGAAACGTGCTGAAAGTGTTCGGCAAATGATGAAATTATATGGTGATCTGGGGCCAGTGCTCATGAAACTGGAAGGTCTGGTGTTGCAAACAAGCACTGGCCGTGCACCTGTTATGGCTCATTCTTATCAGTACTGGGAGAGTCGCACCTTCTCTACATTTGTGAAGTTTGTCCTACGCAACCTCATGGATTTTGAGCATTTTCTTGTGGGAAACACGGCTTGTTTCCAAGTTGAAACTCGCCTAGCTGTGCCCGACGTGTCAATGATACCCACAACAGATGAAGTAAATAAAATAATTATTCATAGCATCAAAGACTTTCTAGAAAGGCTCAAGTCCTTTCCCAGATGGATGCATGGTACATGTTTGGAATGTCCTCAACAGCGAAGACCAGACTCTGACAAGACTCATCAATTTACCATGTTTGATGATCTTGGTCAAGTTCCGCAGATAACTGATATGGTTGTAAAACTACTGGAGACTGCTCGTAGGCTAACTGAAGAAGTTCATAAGTACCTTCTCAGGTGGAAAACATACAGGAACCTGTGGACTTTTGACAAAGTAGTAACTTGTGACAGATTTGCTCAAAAGAATCCAACTCTGCTGCAGTATGATGAAAAGTTCAGCTACTATTCGCAGCTTATAAATGAAATAGATGATATCGGAACATACCAAGATATTCATTGCATTCGAATCAATCTTGTTCCATTGATGAATGAAGTCAAATTCCATGCCAATGAATGGAAAGCATGCCTTGGACAACACCTCTCAGAAAACACTCACAACATGGTTCATGACTTTTTTAGTCAGTTGAATGTCATGAAGAAGGACTTGCAGAGCCAAATACAAGACTTGGAGTCCTTCAAACTGGTTCTCCAGACCATCTGCACAGTGCTGAGCATGAATGTTAGTGCTGAGCTGCTGTACAATGAGGTGATGGAGCGATACAAAACTCTACGTGCGCACAACATTGAAGTGAATAAAGATGATGAAGCTCTTGCTGCGACTCTGCCAGAAGCCTGGAAAGAACTGTACGTAGCAGCAATGTTGCGGTCTCGTAATCTTCAGAAAACTAAGGCTAAATTTGCTATTACAACTCAAGATGAAATTTATGACTTTTTAGCCGAATGTAATGAATTTGTGGAGAAATTCATTGCGGAAGGACCAGGCTCTGTAGGTGATGATCTTGAAAAAGGGTTCAAGCTCATGGATGTGTACAAAATAGAGATTGATGAACTTCTGAAGAAAAAAGCAAACATGCAAACAGCAGAGAGACTCTTTGACCTCCCTTTGACCGATTATTCAAATTTCCTCTCAACTGTAGAGGACTTCAACCACATGGAGCTGATATTTCAACTATACAAAGTTCAAAAGGCGGCTAGAGATGGTTGGTCTAAAACTCTTTGGGTTAATCTCAATCCTGTGGAGCTGGTTGATGGAATGGATGGTTTCCTGAAGGAATGGAGGAAGCTCCCAAAAGGTGCTAAACAGTTAGAAGTTGCAAAAACTCTTGAAAAGCGAATGAAAGAATTCAAAGGTTGTGTGCCTCTGTATGTTGAGCTGAAAAATGAAGCCATGCGTGAACGACACTGGAAGTCTCTTATGGATAAAACTGGAGAGCATTTTGATATGGCTGCAGATCGCTTCACTTTGGAAAACATGTTTGCCATGGACTTGGCTCGTTACACTGATGTAGCTCTAGAGATTATTGGCTATGCAGTGAAAGAACTTAGTATAGAGAAAGGCGTCAAAGATATATCTGAAACTTGGACTAAATTAACTTTGAGTTTAGCCAGGCATCAGAAAGGATCAGAAGACAGAGGCTATGTACTTTCAGCTGTTGATGAAATTTTACAAACCCTTGATGAGCACACAATGAGCTTACAGAGCATGTCAGCTTCTCAGTAAGTATCTCTTCTTCTTCTTGATATTTAATGAAGTAAAATAAAATTTTGATCTGAATGATGTGATATCCTTCTGATCAGGTTTGTTGGACCATTTTTGACAATTGTGCAAAAGTGGGAGAAAAATCTTGCAATAATAGGAGAAGTTCTGGAAGAATGGTTGAGTGTCCAGAGGAAGTGGCTTTATTTAGAGGGAATCTTTGTTGGTGGTGACATTAGACATCAGCTTCCTGAGGAAGCAAAAAAATTCGACTCCATTGATGCAAGTTACCGAAAAGTAAGTTTTGTTTATTTTAAATATCAAATACAGAAAAACCCATAGTTTGAATAATAGTAACCAATACTTAACACTTGCAGATAATGATTGATACAGCACGGAACCCAAAAGTTCTTGACTGTTGTGTTGTTCCAAGTGGCAGATTGACAGATCTTCAAGCATTGACTTATGGATTGGAACGTTGTCAAAAAATGTTGAATGAATATTTAGAATCCAAGAGAAATGCATTCCCACGATTTTTCTTCCTTTCTGATGATGAGCTGCTGTCAGTTTTAGGCAGCAGTCAAATTACTTGTTGTCAGGAGCACATGGTGAAGGTGAGCAGTCTTTTAATTTTATTTTTTTGTATTTTATTGCTTAGGTTGCACCTGCAATATCTGTTGCTGTTCATTTTCAGATGTTCGATAATATTGCAAGTTTGCTCCTTGGAAAAGATAACTCAGAGAGAGATATTGCGTCTGCAATGATCTCTTGTGAAGGAGAAGTAATGGAGTTCCGAAACCCTGTTTTTGCTGAAGGTCGTGTTGAAGAATGGATGAACAATGTTCTTGCTGAAATGCGGAGAAGTAACCAGTACATAACAAAGAAAGCAATTTATAACTATGGAAAAGTGAGAAGACCAAGGTGCAGATTTTTGCTAGTCTCTAATTTTTTCCGCTAATATTTTGCCACTTCTCTCTTACATTAATATTCAAATACTCTTAAGGTGCGAGTGGATGCTGGATTATCAAGGCATGGTTGTTTTGGCCAGTAACCAAGTTTGGTGGACTGCTGAAGTTGAAAATGTTTTTGATAAGATAAAGAAAGGAAACAAAAAAGCTATGAGAGAATACCTTGAGCAGATGAATAACCAGCTTGATGAACTGGTGGTGATGGTTCGTCAAAATCTTACTAATAATGAGCGCAAAAAGTTTAACACTGTTTTAATTATTGATGTCCACACGAGGGACATCATTGAGAACTTTGTCAGAGATAGTGTTATGGATGCTCATGAGTTTAACTGGGAGAGTCAACTACGATTCTATTGGGTAAAAGAAGTAGACAACCTTGCAGTTGTGCAGTGCACAGGTTGGTACCCTGAGTTCTTAGAATCTCGTACTTCTGTATACCTACTGAGACTTCTAATGTTGTACCTCACCTGCTATCCAGGAAATTTTGACTATGGATATGAGTACATGGGCTTGAACGGCCGCTTGGTAATAACACCACTGACTGATCGCATTTATCTTACAATAACTCAAGCTTTGTCAATGCAACTTGGTGGAGCCCCAGCAGGTATTGATGCTACATTCATCTGAGAAGCACTCATTAAATCATCAAAAAAGGCCATGAACAGCCAAAACATATTTTTATCTATTTTAAACTTGCAGGCCCAGCTGGAACCGGCAAAACTGAAACAACAAAAGATTTGGCTAAAGCTTTGGGTTTGCTGTGTATGGTCACAAATTGTGGTGAAGGTATGGACTACAAAGCTGTCGGTAAAATCTTGTCCGGCCTTTGTCAGTGTGGCGCTTGGGGATGCTTTGATGAGTTCAACCGGATTGACATCTCTGTTCTGTCCGTTATTTCCACACAATTGCAAACAATTCGCAGTGCCCTCATCATGAAAATGTCTCGATTCAATGTAAGATATGTAACAGAAAAAACCTATAATATATTTCTTTACATAAAATATATTTTATATTATGTTGTGTATATTTTTGTTCTTCTGCAGTTTGAGGGCCAAGAAATAGCCATGGATTTGAAAGTTGGTGTTTTTATTACAATGAATCCTGGTTATGCTGGTCGAACAGAGTTACCGGAATCTGTCAAGGCTCTGTTTCGTCCAGTTGTTTGCATAGTACCGGACTTGGAACAAATCTGCCTCATTATGCTGTTTTCTGAGGGATTCCTGCAAGCTAAGGTCATTGCTGACTCTAATGGTTTTGTATCACTATTGATGTTTTCCTGTGTGTAATTGTTTTATGTTTCTTCTTTTTTCACCAGGTGCTTGCCAAAAAAATGACAGTTCTATATCACCTTGCTCAAGGCCAGTTGTCAAAACAAAACCATTATGACTTTGGCCTACGTGCGTTAAAGTCAGTTTTGGTCATGGCTGGAGAGCTGAAGAGAGGCTCTCCTGATCTCCCAGAAAATGTGGTGCTCATGAGGGCTCTCAGGTATGTCAGTGCATCACTGCCTTAAAGTCTTATCAAAGGTGTTCTGATGAAACAGATGCAACAATTACATATCTTGCTTCTCTTTCAAATTTCCTTCTCTCTCAAAATTGTAATCCTTCTTCCTTTTACAGGGATATGAATTTACCTAAATTTGTTTTTGAGGACGTACCACTTTTCTTAGGTTTGATAAAAGACTTGTTTCCTGGATTAGAATGTCCCAGAGTGGCATACCCCGACTTTAATGCAGCTGTTGAAGAGGCATTACAAAGTGATGGTTACATCTTGTTACCAGACCAGGTAAATTTAATGCCAATTCTTTTATCAAAAGTTCATTCGTTCAGTGTGTTTTAATGACTACTGTTGCATTCGTACTCTGCCTTGCAGGTTGATAAAGTTGTTCAGATGTATGAAACAATGATGACTCGCCATTCAACCATGATTGTTGGGCCCACTGGTGGCGGAAAAACTGTTGTTATTGAAACACTGGTGAAAGCACAAAATGCTTTGGGCCTCCCAACTAGGCTCTTCATATTGAATCCCAAGGTTTTCTCAAAATAGTTCACTCTTTCAGATGATAAATTGGTAGTCTAAAAGATGCAACTAAAAATAATAAAGTATTATTTCTCTGTTAGGCATGCTCTGTCGTGGAGTTGTATGGTATTCTGGACCCAGCATCTCGAGACTGGACTGACGGCCTCCTGTCGAATATCTTCAGAGAAATAAACAAACCTTTAGAGCAGCCAGAAAAAGAAGAGCGGCGCTACATTCTCTTCGATGGAGATGTAGATGCCTTGTGGATTGAGAATATGAACTCGGTTATGGACGATAATAAACTACTCACTTTGGCAAATGGAGAACGTATCCGCCTTCAGCCTCATTGTGCACTTTTATTTGAGGTAAGTCAACATAATTTAAAATTCAATGCATTGTCTCCTTAGTCTATACCATGAGACACTCATGCAAAATAAATACCTCACAGGTTGGAGACCTTCAGTATGCTTCCCCGGCCACGGTTTCTCGAGCGGGTATGGTGTATGTCGACCCTAAAAATCTTGGCTACATGCCATACTGGCACAGGTGGCTTGCCAGTCGGCCCAACCCCAATGAAAGGGATTCATTTGCTGCACTTTTTAATCGCTATGTGCCTAATACTCTCCGCTACATCTTGGAAGGAATGAAGGGCTCGACTGAGGGCGATCCTTTGGTGATGGCAGTTCCCCAGACATCTCTAAATTTGGTGCGATCCTGTTGATGTGTTGTTGATTTCTCACCCGCTGAATTAAAATTTTCTGCGTGCTACATTCCTTATTGGGTATTTATAGGTGACCCAGCTGTGCTTCATGCTGGATGCTTTAGTCCCAGTGCCTCACCCAGACGATGAGGAGGACATTCCTCGAATCCAGCTTGTCGACTTGGGGACGGGAGATGATGAAGAGGAGGTGGAGCAGGCCCCAGTGCCGGGGCCTCCACCACCACCGCCAGACCCGCGGCTGCCACCGGGACACGTCCCCGAGGAGGAGGCCCCGGAGGCACCTCCTGAGGACGAAGGGGAGGATCCCATGGTGGCGCTGGAGCGGATGGCTCAGGCCGAGCTCCTGGAGTGCATCTTCCTTCAAGCTCTGTACTGCTCACTCGGAGCCCCCCTAGTTGCTGCCAGCAGGAAACCATTTGATGAATTTGTCAAACAGACAGCTGGAATCATGTCATTTGAAGACACTCCAGAGAACCCTGCTTCTACAAGTAAGCTTCTTAGACACAATCCTCATGTCCATGCACGTTCCTATTCAATTAATATCATTGTCTCTTTTTGTTTTCATCAGAACATCTTCCAGCGTCCGAGCCAACACTTTTTGATTACTTCTTTGACATAGAAAAAAGGCAGTGGTTTGCATGGAAATGGTTGGTTCCAGAATATGTCCATGATTCTACTAAAAGATTCAATGAAATTCTTGTACCTACTATAGATACAGAACGCACCACTTGGTTCCTTCGGTTAATGTTGAAGGTGAGTCTAATTCTTACCAGTAGTCTTTTTGAGCAAGCTTGCATTTTTTTAAAGGGTAGATTTATTGTATTTGTTTGAACAATTATTTTACCCAGAATATTACTCTGTGCTTGCTGCATTAGCATTACTTTAAGGATCGGATATTTCGCAAGGTACTGTATGCTCTTCTCATTTTGTTAATCCATCAATTTTTCTTGTGCAAATGGTAGACATTTTAGAGACCTTTAGTAAGCTTGGACTGACTTTCCACTTCTCATTGACAATAGGTAAAAAGGCCGGTTGTCTTAGTTGGTGATACAGGAACCTCAAAGTCAGCTATTATGTTGGATTTTCTTCGCCAGCTTAATCAGGAAGTATTTGTAAGTTTCATCGAACCTTATCCTTGTTTATCTTAAGTAATTATGCAAGCTGTATTTAATCTCATTTTGTTGAGTTTCCAGGCCAGACTGAATGTTAACTTCTCATCGCGAACTACTTCAATGGATGTTCAACGCACCCTTGAATCTGCTGTGGAAAAACGCACAAAAGAGATTTATGGCCCACCAGTTGGGAAAAAGCTTGTGATCTTCATCGATGACCTGAACATGCCTCAGGTAAAGTGCTCTTTGGATATTGCTGGTTGTATCTTCCTCAAGTCTTCTGTATCACTTTGAAAATGCCTTTTTTTATCATAATTTCAGGTTGATACTTATGGGACTCAGCAGCCCATAGCATTGCTAAAACTTCTGCTAGACAGGGGTGGCATGTATAATCGGGGGAAAGATCTTAATTGGAAGCAGCTCAAAGATATATGTGTGTATTTAGGACCAGATTTACAGTGCGAAACCATTTTTGTTCCGTGTTCAGCTTCTGTTCTTACAAATACTTATTTTTTTCCTTCCAGGCTTTTTTACTGCAATGGGAACTGCAGGGGGTGGCAGGAACGCTGTGGATCCGCGCTTTTTGTCTTTGTTTTCAGTCATGAGTTTGGTTTTCCCATCAGATGAAACCTTGAAGTACATTTACAATTCTATTCTTGCTGGCCACACCAAGCCATTCACAGAAGAAATTCAAAGGGTTGTCCCTGTTGTAGTCAATATCAATCTTGGGTTGTATAAGGTAGAGGATGCAATGAGAAATTTTATTGAAATATTTGTCAAGCGCTTCTCTCATTTAACTGGATCGGTCTTCTGTTTCCTTACAGGTTGCATTATTACAATTGCCTCCTACTCCCTCTCGCTTCCATTACATATTCAATCTGAGAGATTTGTCACGCATATGTAGTGGTATGGTTTTGACGCAACCTGAGCTGTTTGAGCAAACGAGACAATTTGTCAGAGTTTGGCGAAATGAATTCACCAGGGTAATTTGTGATCGCTTAATTACAACAGAGGTAAGTGATTTCTTTCCCTACTTTCCTGAAAGTTGTAAATATGTTGTTGTGTAATAAATTTATTGTGGTTTTGCATGGAAGGATCAAAGTTTGATGCAAGAAGAGATGCAAAAGATGATAGAGGAATATTTTCCTGAAGACAAAAAAGCAACCTTACCAAGCCAAGGGGAAATGTCACTCGTTGATGTAAGTAATGAACCATTTAATTGCTGAACTAGTATATTTAGATTTCATAATTTAAGTGCCTGAGACAATTGAATTTTAATATTTAGACAACAGAGCCAAGAAGTGCGGACCAGATTGCAACTACGGATATTGATGCTGAAGCAGAGGAAGGCTCTGAAGAGGGCGCCAGTCTGAAAGAAGAGGAAGCTGAGCATGTTACCAGGGAAAAGATGACTTTCCAGGAATATGTTTTAAGAGATCCTCTGTTATTCGGTGATTACCGTAATGCAATCAATGATGACGACCCTCGCTGTTATGAAGACCTGATAGATTATGAAGCAGTGTACCACCTACTTCAAGAGGTAGACAAATTTTCTTCCAGAATATTGGATAAATATTCAGCTTCAAGTTTATGGTGCCTCTCCTCCTCTCTTTGCTCAAGCTCTTGCTATATTTTTAACACCGTATCTTTCCTCTACAGTTACTTGTCGCTTACAATGAATCCTACTCAAAGATGGATCTAGTTTTGTTTGATGATGCTTTGGAACACATAACACGAGTCCATAGAGCTCTCCGCATTAATCGTGGTCATGCCTTAGTTGTTGGTGTTGGTGGAAGTGGGAAGCAAAGTATCACAAAACTTGCTGCCTTTGCTGCAGGTAAAAGACCAAAAGACATAGTTTGTAAAAATGAGGGTTTAATTTTTTCTTTTTTTTTTGAACTGATCAATACTGTTTGACAGGATGTGAGGTTTTTGAAATATCCTTAAGTCGAGGTTACAATGAATACATGTTCAAGGAAGACATGAAGAAATTGTTCTATTTGTTGGGTGTGGATAGAAAAAATGTGGTATTTCTCTTCACTGCAGCCCAAGTTGTTGAGGAAGGTAATGGTATTTTTCCAATTACTAATTTTTTCTTTAACTCATGAGAAACAAGTAATCATATTTGTCTCCAGCATTCCTTGAGTTTATTAACAACATCCTGACTATTGGCATGATCCCTGCTCTGTTCTCTGATGATGAAAAAGAAAATATTATGGTCTCTGTAAGATCCTTTGCAATGGATGCTGGCTATGGAGTAACCAAGTATGTCCTACATATTTTGCTGCATTAAAAAAAATAAGATAAAAGTCTGTACATATATAATTTTTTTTTCCAAGGGATGGAGTTTGGAACTATTTTGTGGATCTTTGTGCCAACAATCTCCACATAGTTCTAGCCATGTCTCCATCTGGAGAAAATCTTCGCAATTGGTGCCGCAGTTTTCCTGGTCTTGTGAATAATACTTACATTGATTGGCTGTTTCCATGGCCATCACAAGCTCTTTTGGCAGTGGCTCATGTCTTCCTCACAGATGTAAGTACTTGACTGTTGCGTCAAAAAAAAATTAGGAACCCAAATTTATGAAATTTTAAATTGTGCCTGTTTCTCTTGCCGATGCAGAACCCTAAAGTGCCTCAAGAACATAGAGATAGCATTGTGGAACACGTGGTTCACACCCACGAATCAGTTCGTGAATACTGCCAAGATTATCTGATTAAATTGAGGAGGAAAAATTATGTCACCCCAAAGCACTATCTGGATTTCATCAATATTTATTTACATCAACTGGATGTCCGAGCAGCTGATATTGACCATCAGGTATTGTCAATGTATAACTTTGAGATGTATTTTATGAAGGCGGTAGTCTTTCTATCATGCTGTGTTTACTTTTATTTTTTCAGTGTGAGCGACTGAAAGGAGGAATGGTGAAAATGCAAGAAGCCAGCGCTGAACTGGACATTTTGAACAAGAAGCTAGAAGTTCAGAAGAAAGTTGTGGCTGAAAAGCAAGCTGCTAGCAATGTCCTTTTAGCTCAAGTGAAGGAAGGTGAGTTGATAATTTAAAATATGTCTCACTGCCACACTGTGCCTGAATTTTATTGATATGTTCTGTTTACAGCAACGGAATCTGCTAATCAAAAGAAGGATAAAGCCACTGAGAAAAGTGTTGAAATCGAGCAACAGGCCAAGGTTATTGCATCCGAGAAGGGCGAAGCTGAAGAAGTACTAGCTGAAGCTATGCCTGCTCTTGAAGCTGCCCGAAATGCACTTGCAGAACTTGAAAAGTCTGACATTACAGAAATAAGGTAAGAGCTGACTGCAACGTTTTTCAGGTGAAATTTTTACATTTAGAGATTCACAACCCTTTTCTCATGTTTTAATGCTGCTTAGTGATGATGCGTACTGGGAGGAGCGGTATGTTATGCTTTGAGTGTGCTTTCATCAAGGCTTTCATCATTATCCTATTTCTTTTATTAATCTTATTTTCTTAAAAGAAGGACAAGAAAAAATAGTTTTTCTCCATTTTTGTCTCTATTGTATACTAGCAGTACTGTGATGTCTCCCTTTCAGATCTTTTGCAACACCTCCAGAGGCTGTACAGGTGGTGTGTGAATGTGTTGTAATCATCAAGGGCATTAAAGAAGTTAACTGGAAATCCGCAAAGGGAATGCTGAGTGACCCAAACTTCTTAAGGAATCTTCAGCAATTAAACTGTGATCTCATCACTCAGAAACAAGTTCAAGCAGTGAAAGCTCACATGAAAGTAAGAGGAGAATATTATTTGTCTGGTTTATTTATTTTCCCTCTCAGGTGGTGCGATGATGCAATCTATTTACCGGTAACTTTTATTTGTGTTTTATTCGGTAGAAATGCAATTTGGAAGGAATGGAAAAAATCAGCAAAGCAGGATATGGCCTTCTTCGATTCGTGGAAGCTGTCTTGGGCTACTGTGCTGTGTACAAAGAAGTGAGGCCTAAAAAGGAAAAGGTTGCTGCTCTTGAGACTGAATTTAAGCAGGTGAATGACAAGTGTAGTACAGTGTTATCTATTTTTAGAAACTGAGTTATCTTTCCTCTGCTAATCTTGACTTTCTTACTGTAGGCCACAAAATATTTAGACAATTTAAACCGTGAAATAACCAAGGTTGAAGCTGTTTTGGCAGATTTGAATGAGAAGTATGTTGCTGCAATGAGTGAAGCCCATGAACTTCAGGAAGAAGCTGACATCATGCAACGCCGCCTAGTGGCTGCTGATAAACTATTTTCCGGCCTGAGATCAGAAAATGAAAGGTACTGTATTAAGCTAGAAAATTATTTTTATTTCCTTCTTTGAGGTGCTTTACTCAGTTTGGTTTGCTTGTTTCCAGATGGACCACTGATCTGGCAAAGTTGCATGAAGACAAGAAGCAGTTACTCGGCAACTGCCTCCTATCTTCTGCTTTCCTATCATATGCTGGCCCATTCAGCTTTGAATATCGACAGACCATGCTTCATGAAGACTGGGAGCAGAGTCTTCTCGAAAAGGGAATTCCCTTGACCCATCCATGGAAGGCTCAAGAACACCTTACAACTGATGTTGAAATTAGCAAGTGGACCTCTGAAGGGCTGCCTCCAGATGAATTGTCTGTACAGAATGGTATTCTCACAACTCAGAGTAACTGTTTCCCATTATGCATTGACCCTCAACAGCAGGTGTGGCTTGCAAACTGTTGTTTGAAAAGTATTATTAAATACAGCATAGTAATCTAAGAATCTAATTGGCTGGGCTCTTTTCAGGCCTTGAATTGGATCAAGCGGAAGGAAGAAAGAAACAATTTAAGGGTGCTCACATTCAATGATGCTGACTTTTTAAAACAATTGGAAATGGGCATCAAACTGGGGCAACCTGTCCTCTTTCAAGATGTTGATGACTACATTGATCCCGTCATTGAAAATGTTCTTTCCAAAAACTTTAAAAGTATGCACCTTTCTTAAAAATAATAATAAGTATTCTTTTAAAATTTTAATACCTATGCCTTACGTTTCTCACAATAACTTTGTACTTCCAGCTCCTCCTGGTAGACGGTATGTCATGTTGGGTGATTTGGAAGTTGATGTTGACTTGAAGTTCCGTCTATATCTCACAACCAAGCTGAGCAATCCTCCATTCAATCCGGCCATTTACGCGAAGGCCACGGTCATCAACTACACTGTCACACTATCCGTAAGAACATCCCAGTTCTTTCAAGTTTAATGTTTGCTTCGGTGTCAATAGGACATTTTGAACTGTTTTTTTTCTTCAGGGCCTCGAAGACCAGCTTCTGAGTGTTGTTGTGCGGAATGAAAGGGCAGACCTAGAAGAGAGGAGGGAGGAATTGATTGCAGAAACATTTGAAAATAAAAATCTTCTTAGTCAGTTGGAGGATGCCCTGCTCCTGGAGCTAACAACGTCATCTGGAAATATGCTGGACAATCAGGAACTCATTGCAACTTTAGAAAACACAAAAACTAAGGCAACAGAGGTAAAAGAAAGAAGCAGTCTTATATTCTGTGAAAATGATTCGTTCTTTATTTTGAATTTTTCTATTTATTTATTTTTTAACAGGTGACTAGCAAACTGGAACTTGCTGCAGCAACTGCTGTTGACATCGATGGCCTGAGAGATGGATACCGCTCTGTGGCTGGGAGAGGGGCCATGCTGTTCTTTTTACTGTCAGATATGGCAGCTGTGAATGCAATGTATCAGTACTCTCTATCATCATATCTGGAAGTTTTTGCCTATTCTCTTCGAAAGGCACTTCCACATACTCAACTATCTCGTCGCCTTTCCAATATCATAGTGACACTCACAAAGAATGTGTATGATTATGGCTGCACTGGTATTTTTGAGAAACACAAGCTGCTTTTCTCCTTCCAAATGGCTATGAAGCTTCAAAAAGCTGAAGGAACTGTCAATCAAACTGAATTGGACTTTTTCATCAAAGGAAATGTTTCTCTTGAAGCTCCTTCTCGCCCACCTCCAGACAAGTGGCTTACTGGATGGACTGATATTCTAAAGTTATCTCAAGATTTCAGTTCTGATTTTGGCGAGCTGCCAAATGACATAGAGAATAATTTATCTGTGTGGGAAGAATGGTATGACCTTGATGCACCAGAGGATGTTCCCTTTCCAATGGGCTATTCAGAACGAATAAGGCCATTCCAGAAACTCATGATTATTCGATGTTTCCGTGTGGATAGAGTTTATCGAGCCGTAACAAAATACATCATAGAGACTATGGGTCAGGAATTTGTCATGCCTCCTGTCATAAGCCTGGACAATATATTTGAGCAAAGTTCTCCTCAGATGCCAGTAGTTTTTATTTTGAGTCCTGGCTCAGATCCTACATCGGAGCTCATGAAACTAGCTGAACGCTGTGGAAGTGGTGGAGGTCGCTTTAAGTATCTCTCCCTTGGCCAAGGGCAAGAACAGCTGGCTCTATCTTTGCTGGAGGTAGCTGTATCAAGAGGCCAATGGCTGATGCTTCAAAATTGTCACTTGCTGCTGCGGTTCCTTCGAGATTTGGAGAAGCAGTTAGAAGCCACAGGCAAGCCCCATCCTGACTTCCGTCTTTGGTTGACCACCGACCCTACACCAGGCTTCCCTATCAGCATACTGCAGCGTTCACTCAAAGGTACGCCTTCTGTTCCACCATGCACAATTGCACTTTTATTCCTTACTGCCTGTAATCTTATTCTAGTATTTACATGTGTCTTTGTTACCTTTTCACACAGTGGTCACAGAGCCTCCAAACGGTTTAAAATTGAACCTGAGGGGTACTTACTTTAAACTCTCTCAAAATTCTTTGGAGCATTGCTCACATCCAGTATTTAAGAAACTTGTTTATGTCTTGGCATTTTTCCATGCTGTCGTACAGGTTTGTAAACAAGACTTTATTGATCTTTTGCTTTTGCATCTAGTTCTCCTAATTGGTTTGCCTTTTAAAAAAAGAACATTGCTATTTAAATGCTTTCTTTACAGGAGAGAAGAAAATATGACAAAATAGGCTGGAACATCTGTTACGACTTCAATGAGTCTGACTTCAATGTGTGTTTACAAATATTGGACACCTACCTGACAAAAGCACACAATACCAAGGATACTCGAATACCTTGGGGAAGCTTGAAGTACTTGATTGGGGAAGTCATGTATGGAGGTCGTGTGATAGATAATTTTGATCGCCGCATTGTTTCTACATACATGGACGAATATATGGGAGATTTCCTGTTTGATACATTCCAACCGTTCCATTTTTATAAAGATGAAAATGTAGACTACCACATTCCACAAGACTCTGGCAAAGATGAATACATTAGTGAGTAATTTTGTTCATTGGAGTGAACATATTTTTTACATACGTCTTATCAAACAATGTTTTCAATTTTTCAGATTTTATTGATGAGCTGCCATTGATCAACAGTCCTAATGTATTTGGTTTGCATGCTAATGCTGAAATAGGATACTTCTCCCAAGCAGTGAAAGAAATGTGGAACCACCTGATCCAACTACAACCTCAGACTGGTAAAACACATTTTACAAGTACTCATCTATGTAAATTATTTCATACATAAATGTGTTTTTTAAATCAACTTAACTATATTTTTATATTTTTACACTATGGACTTTTACATAATGATAATAATAATACCCAAAAAATATTTTTACTGGATTTTTGACTTGGTAGCCTTTTGTTTTTAACTTATCTCATACTTCATTTTACTGCAGCCAATAGGATGGAATTGGACTCAGGTCGGAAGGTGCCCGAGGCACTTCATTTTTTGTGCTTTTCAATTTTTGTAGTTTGATTTTTTTTATTAGACGTTTTGATGGGTTGCAGTCTGATCTGTAAATTGAGGTAAATCTTGATTCTTCATTTTGACATTACAGGAGAAGTATCTGCTGGAGTGAGCCGGGAGGAATATATTGACAATGTTGCCAAAGACATTCTAGAAAGGTTACCGCCTCAGTATGAAGTGGCCAGAGTCCGCAAGGGTTTAGAAATGAATATCACTCCAAGTATAGTAGTACTTCTGCAAGAGCTTGCTCGCTTCAACAACCTAATTCAGTGTATGCAGTCTACTTTGACATCACTTCGCAAGGTTTGCTCACTAGTATTAATTATGGATTAACTGCTGTTTTGACCACTTTTACAGAACTGCCTGTTTCCATGTTTTCCTCTCAGGCCCTTGCAGGAGAAATTGGAATGAATTCGATTTTAGATAATGTGGCATCATCCTTGTACAATGGACAACTTCCAAATGAGTGGCGTAAGCGTGCACCAGCTACTTGCAAGACTTTAGGAAACTGGATGCAACACTTCATCAAGCGAAATGAACAGTACCATAATTGGGTAGGCTAGGGATGAACTTATTAACATTTAAAGTTCAATTTTTGTGTGGAACCTGTTTCTCTCATTCTTCTTTGAATGTTGCAGGCCATAGGTGGAGATCCTATGGTGATCTGGCTGTCAGGGTTACACATCCCTGAGTCATACCTCGCTGCATTAGTTCAAATGGCATGCAGGAAAAATGGGTGGCCACTTGATCGCTCTGTCATGTACACAACTGTCACTAAGTATCAATCCTTGGACGAGGTAGAAGAGCGCCCTGATCAAGGTTGTTACGTGATCGGCCTTTACCTGGAAGGTGCGCGGTGGGACATGGAAAACGAGTGCCTGGCCCGGTCGTTTCCAAAGGTTCTACAGGAAGAACTACCGATTGTCATGGTTATCCCAGTTGAAGCACACCGTCTCAAGCTGCAGGTAGGTCAATTACCTCAAAACAGCTGTGCTGGGTTGTGTGTTTTTCTACCATTAAGAAACCTCCATTTCACAATGTTTCAGAACACCATCAAAACACCGGTGTACACCACATCACTCAGACGCAATGCCATGGGAGTGGGCTTGGTGTTTGTGGCAGATTTGAGTACAGAAGAACACAACAGTCATTGGATCCTGCAAGGCGTTTGCGTAGTTCTCAACAGTGACTGAAGCAACAAGTGAGTAGAACCAGGCAGTTCATGTCATACTCATCATGGTCATTATCAAAAATAACAATTTTTTTTTCACCAACTTCCCAGTTTGAGGGAGCAACAAGTCAGGGATAGTACCAGTCTTCTTGAGGATAGTATAGTTGAACGAATGCAATCAGTTACCTTCCTTTTTACAACTTCATTTTATTTTTAATATTGCTGAGTGATGTTAATTTATGGATTCATGTTTTGTTTTGTTTTTTATTACATGACTATTTATTTAGTACTGTGCCTCTATGAGGTTTTGACTGTTAGCCAATATTTGACACTAAATGGGTTTTTCCCCTTCTGTTTGGTTCTCTTTTTAAAGAAATGTAACAGATGTATAAATAAAAAGTAACACATTATCAAAATAAATTTCATGTTAAATTCAATGAACAATACAATTTCACTTCATAGTAGCTGTGGTCTGGATGCTAGAGGCCACAGTATCAATAATCAGTTCTGGTTTTGCGGATGCTGATGGAAGTTTCAGCATTTCACATGATGTTGCCTTTATCGGCACACTCTCATAAAATTGATTTGGGTCCACCATTAGTGCTGTTGGGATCTGAAATGATATCACAACATTATAAAATAGTAAACAAGGGGGAATATCAGTTCAAAATTTGAGAAAGAAATTATTACCTTCATCTCTTTAATGTCACCCTCTCTGCTTGTAAATTCTCTAATCAAGTGTGAGGTACCAAACTCATGATACAAACGAGTATCATTTATTCGGACTAATACCCCATCAACTCGGAGGAAGAATCTCATAAGCACAAACAAACCAGTAGGCATCACTCTCTGAAACAAAATAATAAAACTTGAAAGTTGCAGGGAAAGAAATTGAAATTAAATACAGCACTGTTTAAACTTAATCTTACAATCTTAACAGAGAGGACAGCAGTTCCATTATCATGCAACTCATCTTCAAACAGAGTCACATCTGAATAAAACAAAATTTGCTCTCGCTTTTTCAACACTTCCATATCAATGTTGATATTAGAAGGAACAGCATTGAGTTCTCCAAGTAGTGTTCCTTTGTAATCTGTTGTAAAAGTCCAGTCAAATGGTTTGGCTTTCTGCTCAATGTGTGGTTGATCTGATCTGTAAATTGAAAAAATAATAATGAAAGAGTTATGACCATTACAAGAAAATTTGTAATAAAACACTTCATGCTGAAAGTACCTTGATGCCTTCCATTCTTCTGCGCAAGCGATTTCCACAGTCATTTTTCCACTATCAACTCTTCGCAGAGCATCCAGGGCATTGAATTCAATGCCGAGACCAGATTCATGTTCCAATCTCAGGAGGTTTTCGGGGAAAACCATTTCTGGAATGTGAGGAAGATCCAGCTTCCGGTTGTATCTGAAAACAAAAAGAAAAATCTCAGAATGAAAAACAAGACAAAAGATAAGTTCAGGACTGTCGAGATGTCACTTTATTTTCAACACGCCATTGACTTACAAGCAAAATGAACACAGCTTGTCATCTTCAGTGCATTCTACTCTTTGAGAACATTGAGACTCTAGGATATGGCTTTCGCAACTGCTGATGTCCCAGCCACATATCTTTAACTCTTTCAAACCAGAGGGCTTGGACGCATGATCTGTCTCAGTTTCAGCCCCATTTGCAGTGCTGAAAGAGTGGTTAATAAGGATTTGGATTACGATACGATGACACAAATTGACTCTGAATAAGAGCGAATCAGACACCCAAGACAAGAAAAGAAAAGGTTAAAATCAGAAGATAGGGACCACGTTACCTCATATTAATTTACGGTGACCTTCTTTTTAAATTTCAAAATAAGGCCTATTAGGATAACCTGAGATGAGCTGAGGACGGACTTTTCGCGCCAGGCGGCAAGTCTTTTTCTGAGAAAAGCGCTATTCGCTTTGAACGACAGTGAAGGTAGATGCGACTCTTAACGCAAGGAATAAATAAACGATTGCTGCCCTTCTGTTCACGAACTAAATAGACTGGTCCTTGTGCTTTCCGCGTCCCGATGACAAGCCGACAGTTTGCAGACGAACACAGACGACATCAACAAAGGACAATCGCCTCACGAGAAGAAGAAGGAGAAGAAGAAAGCATTTGTTGTTATTTTGAGGTTGGGGTGGATACCTTGTTGGAACAACTGAACAACTGTCAAACTCGTTTCTGTTTTTGGAGTGGTTTCTGAGGGGCCCCTTGTTGAGGGAGTGTCGTTTCCTCACTCACGTCTGACAGAGGTTCATTCCATTTCGAAAATGGATCCAGCACTGCTTCGTGAGCGTGAGCTCTTTATGAAAAGAGCTTACTCTACTCCAACGTGAGTGATTTTAGCATATTTTTCATTTTATTTGTAACCTGCCCCTAATTTTCAAGTCTGGTCTCATGAAATTGACTCTTATTTCCTACGTATCTTTATTGTCATGTTCAGTATTGTTCTGTGAGGTTACATCTCTGCACCTGTTCCATATGTGCCAAATTTCTCGACGTATGTGACAAATTTCCTTTTATGGCCTCCAAAATGTTTATTTTTGTTTTATTTTGGTTCACTGCAGTGTTGAGAAGAAACGTAAAGATCCAGAGGGTCCAGTCAAAGATGACAAGAAGAAACCGAAGACGGCACCTCCTCCAGCACCGTCGCCTGCTCCTCCTAGAGATGTTAAGTGAGTCGCTAGATTCGTTGAGTTGTGAGTAACTGACCAAGCGATCCATGTTTTTTCTTTCAATGTTTTGTATCTTTCTGCAGTTACAAGAGCATGTCGGGGAGTACTCAGTACAAGTTTGGAGTATTAGCAAAAATTGTCAAGCATATGAAACAAAGACACCAGCTGGGTGATGATCATCCTCTTACCTTAGAAGAAATACTAGATGAAACCAATCAACTTGATGTAGGATCTAAAGTGAAACAGGTAATAAGATTGTTGTCTTATTTTTTTCTTTACTTTTTAATTTTAATTCACTGAACCTTTGAATAAAGTGATGTTCTTCTCTCTTCTCAAAAATCCCAGTGGCTCCTGACAGAAGCTTTAATTCAAAACCCTAAACTAGAACAAACTCCTGAGGGGGGTTTTCTCTTCAAACCACCGTACAAAATCCGTGACAAGAAAGCACTACTACGTATTCTAAAGCAACATGACCTGAAAGGACTTGGTGGCATCCTCTTAGATGATGTGCAAGAATCTCTTCCGAACTGTGAAAAGGCCTTAAAGGTAAGTCATTTCTTTTAACAATTCCAATACAATCCGCATCTTGGGTGTCTTGGTCTGATTTCAACAGTCCCCTTCCATCTTTGTGAACATGAATTCTCCACATTTTACTCAACCATTTTGTGTATTTTTTTTAATGCAGCATCTTCAAAATGAAATTATCTATGTTACAAGGCCACTTGACAAAAAGAAAATCTTATTTTACAATGATCGCACAGCTCAATTAGTTGTTGATGATGAATTCCAAAAGCTTTGGCGTGGTATAGCTGTTGAAAGTGTTGATGATGATAAGATTGAAGAATACTTAGAGAAACAGGTAGGCCTAGAAATTCATGCTCATATTTTCATTATCTACAGTTGTTAATAATTAATTTTCTTGCACAATATTTATTCACCAACGCAATTAAAAATTTTTGCAGGGTATTCGCTCCATGCAAGACCATGGTCCTAAGAAACCTATGGCTCCCAAGAGAAAGAAGGCCAACAATAGAAAGAAGACTCACAAGAAACCAAGAGATAATGAACATCTGGCTGATGTGCTAGAAAATTATGAAGATAAGTAAATATTCTGACATTTTATTGAAAACGCAACAAATTGTTTTCTAAATTGCCTCTCATAGAGTCTTGTGATAGTAGGTAGGAGTATAAATTTTGTTAATAATCTAGCATAAGATTAAAGTGATGTTTCAAAGATTTCCAATACAGAATAAAGTATCAATCTTAGATCATCAGTTCTTATTTCATTTCAACATAACTCCCCCCCCCTCCCCCCGAAAAAGCAGAAACTTTTCAGTGGTTGGGGGAAGACCTTTGCAGAAAAGTCCCCTCATAATCGTCCTCTGTTCCTCCTAGCTGGACCCCCAAAGCTGCACAAACAAAAAAACCCAAATTATTTAGCGATTTGTCGTTCTTGAGGAACACCGACGTCGCACGCGTCTCTCGTCTCATGTCGGATTAATTCATCATCCTAATTGCAAAGCGGTCGCTGTAATTGTAAGTTAAACCGGCGGCTGCTACACTGGTATCGGTGGCTGCGCAGCGCGCGCTCTCCATCCGTGACTCGAAGGGAAAGTCTCGAGCCGAGTCGGTCTCCTTGAATGATGGCTGTCTTGTCGCGGCGAGCAGGCAGTGCGACTCTGCAGACTCCGCACAAAGAGAAGTGCTCCCGCTTGATACCCGTTGCACAGTGGGCCAGAAGACCGGTCGAGGCAGCCGAAACTCTAGACGCGTTTTGAGCTCCAGAGTCGCTAAACAGGACTCGAACCGAACTTGTGAACCCACCAATGGATTGCTCTCCGAGCGAGGAATCCATGGGTGGGGTCACACGTTCGGTGTCCTGCTTAGCGACTCTGGAGCTCAAAACGCGTCTGGAGTTTCGGCCGCCTCCACCGGTCTTCTGGCCCACTGTGCCTAGCCGGGCCTCGCCGTGAAAAGACACCAAAGCACGACGGACTGTCGCTGAAACAATCTCCGATGAAAGTCGTCGGGGAAGTCCTGGAGGTCCTAGAGCAGGAAGCGAGGTGATATGACAACCACCACAGCGTCTGCAGGCGTCTGCCCTGGTCTGCCGTAACGCTCTCTGTCTTTTTTGCTTCAAATAAGAGTAAAGCCTCGACACAGTGAGGCAGTGCCAGGAAATTCAAAATTCTGAAAGAGCGATAGTCCGAAGAAGTCCGGAGGCGGTCAAACTCCCGGACGCGTTTTGAGCGCCAAAGTAGTCAAATGGGACTCGAACCGAACGTGTGACCCCGCCAATGGACTGCTTTTGGAACAGGAAATCCATTCGTGGGGTGGCACGGGTCCTGCTGGGCGACTCTTGAGCTCAAAACGCGTCTAGAGTTTTGGCCGCCGGCGTCGGCCTTCTGGCCCACTGTACGGCAGCTCCACTAGATCCGCACCTGACAAGGTAAGCCCCTTCCAAGGAAATCGAAAGCTGTCCGGAACGGTCTCACGTCGCCGCTCCCCGCCAGTGTGCACGCTGTGGCTGTGACCTGTCTTACCGCTGTTACAGTGCAGCTACACTGGACGCTGTTAGCTGGTTGGAGTCGTTTCATTGTCAGCGAAAACCTCAAGGGTGGGTGCAGACAGACGAGCGACTCCAAAGGATCGTTTCGTCGCTCTGTCTCTGTCGCACTCATGGTGGTTGTGGGGCGTGTCGCACAGTGGGCGGAGGCGGCCAAAACCCCGGACGCGTTTCAGCTCCAGAGTCGCTAAATGGGACTCGAATCAAACTTGTGACCCCACCGATGGATTCCCCGTTCGGAGAGCAATCCATTGGTGGGGTTACACGTTTGGTTCGAGTCCCATTTAGCGACTCTGCGGCTCGAAACGCGTCCGGTGTTTTGACCGCCTCCACCGGCCTTCTGGCCCACTGTGCGGCGGCTGCGTGGCTGGCACAATTCATACGAGTGCCGCGCGCCGCCATCCACCACCGGCCTGCCGGTTTCCGGGGTCCGCAACTACAGTGCGGTGCGTGCGCGGGCGGGGCGGGGCGGGGCGGGGCGCTCCGCGGTACGGCCAATTTGAGTCGTTTACTCCCATAGTCGGCAGCCCGTCGACGACTTCCCTTTCCCCTCCTTGTCGTCCGCGGTGGCGTGCCGGCGGCGCCGCAGACTTGATTCCGAGGGTCGTTTTCGTCGCTCTGTCTCTCGCACTCATACGGCGTCCCGTATAGGTGCGAGAGAGGCAGAGCGACGAAGCCGACTCTCGGAATCAGTCTGCTGAGCGCAGAAGGCACGGCGCCTGCGGACCGCGGGCTGGGCCGCCACGCCGGTCTCCGCTGCTAGGCGGCACTGCCTACCCTGCGATCCGCAGGCGTCACGCAGTGGGCCAGAAGACCGGCGGAGGCGGCCAAAACTCTAGACGCGTTTTTAGCTCCAGAGTCGCTGAATGGGACTCGAACCGGACGTGTGACCCCACCAATGGATCGCTCTCCGAACGAGCAATCCATTGGTGGGGTCACACGTTCGGTTCGAGTCCCAATCAGCGACTCTGGAGCTCAAAACGCGTCCGGGGTTTTGACCGCGTCCACCTGTCTTCTGGCCCACTGTGCCGCGTCCGACGTCACGTGGCTTCAGGACGCCCCCCGCTGATGACAGCGGCGTCGTGTTTCTCACTGTAAACATTTCGGCAGGACCACCGCCGTGACACGGCACTGTAGGCACGGCAGCGTCGCGGCGCCCGCTTTCTCTCGGTGAGGCACCGTCCGACCTCGCCGGGAGTTGAACCCGGATTCCCCGCGCCGGTCGCTCACTCGCTGAGCGCTCGGCCACGGCGGGCACACACACTGTGGGCCAGAAGAACCAGTGGAGGTGGCCAAAACTTACGACGCGTTTTGAGCCCGAGTCGCTAAATGGGACTTGAACCGAACGTGTGACCCCACCAATGGATTGCTCGTTCGGAGAGCAATTCATTGGTGGAGTCACACGTTCGGTTCGAGTCCCATTTAGCGACTATGGAACTCAAAACGCGTCTTGAATTTTGTCCGCCTCCACCGGTCTTCTGGCCCACTGTGAAGCGCGGTCGCTGCCTCCGCCCAGAATCTCAGCAGGATTCGTCTCGCGCCACTGCACTGGAGTACCGGAGTCTTGCCCGAGTCTCGAGGAACCTGCTGAATGGACCGTCCTGCCTGCATGCCGACGGCATGCACTGCCAAACGCAAGACAGCCGAGCGAGTCAGAAGAGGTCGTTGCGCCGCCATATCTCTGTCGCACTTATGGGACTCTCATATGGTTCATATGGAGCAAGTACGGACGTTCCGTACTTCTCTTCGTACCTCCGTACTATATTTTTCCGGACCATTTCAGTACAGAAGCAGGGAATTTTTTACAGTGCACAGACTTTTTCGGCGGTGTACAGAGCTCAGCTTACGACTCGAATTTCATTGCGAAACGCGCGTATCAGTGGACGTCTCGACGCCGGTCGTTACACAGTGTTTAACGCCCCGCCGTCTTCCCGGCGCGGCCAGCGCGCAGCGTCTATCTCTCTCGCACCCCTTCGCACAGTGGGCCAGAAGACCGGTGGAGGCGGCCGAAACTCTAGACGCGTTTTGAGCTCCAGAGTCGCTGTGCAGGACTCGAATCGAACGTGTGACCCCCACCAATGGATTCCTCGTTCGGAGAGCAATCCATTGGTGGGGTCACATGTTCGGTTCGAGTCCTGTTTAGCGACTAGCTCAAAACGCGTCCAGGGTTTTGACCGCCTCCACCGGTCTTCTGGCCCACTGTGCCACGAGCCGCTCTGGGAGTGCGAGAGAGACAGGGTGGCGGTTTCGGAATCGCCCCCACTGATCGGCCGACGCGACACGCACCGCCGCCTCGAACTATCGTCGCCTCGCCTTGTATCAAATTCTACGCCGGAAGGAAAGAGATAAAAACGGAGCAAGGCCTCGGCGCCGCCGGGACTCCAGGACGTCCAGGGCGATCGGCACCGCCGAGGGCACGACGGCGTTGCGTCACAGGGCTGTTGTTGTTGATGATGATGATGATGATGATGTTGCTGGCGTTGTTGTTGGTCGTGGTGGTGGTGGGCGTTGCTGGTGGTGGTGGTGGTGGTGGTGAAGGTGGTGGTGGTGATGGTGGTGATGGTCGTGGTGGTCGTGGTGATGGTGGTGGTGGTGTGCTCATTGAGCGCCTGCTAAAAGTCCTTGCGTTTTGTTTTTGTCGTTGCGTATTTTTAACGGTCGCCTCAAAAAGTGCCGGCTGTCCACCGACCTGTCTACCGGGGATGATGACGACGGCGTGCTCACGCCGTGCTCCCCTTGGCGGAGTGTCCCAATCGGACAGCAGCGCACAGTGGGCCAGAAGACCAGTGGAGGCGGCCAAAACTCTAGACGCGTTTTGAGCTCCAGAGTCGCTAAACAGGACTCGAAGCGAGCGTGTGACCCCACCAATGGATTCCTCGTTCGGAGAGCAATCCATTGGTGGGGTCACACGTTCGGTTCGAGTCCCATTTAGCGACTCTGGAGCTCAAAACGCGTGCGGGATTTTGGCCGCCTCCACCGGTCTTGTGGCCCACTGTGCAGTGCCTCCGAGAGCGCCTCGCTGCGACAGGCTGGTCAGGCCCCTGTTTCGAGACCGCGTGTCGGATTTTGCATGTCGGATTTCGAAGCCAGTGCCCCCTTCCCCGTTTCCTCGGATTTCAGAGCCAGTGCGCCTCTCTCCCCATCTTCCCTCCTCCCGCGTTTGCCTGCACACAGCTGTGTGTCTGCTAGAGTTGGAGCACACTTAATGTTTTTGTACAAATTTTTTACGAGATATCACAGTTTTTTTTCCGCACACGAACTTTTTGTACAAATTTGTACAAAATTTTGCACAATTTTGTACAAAAATTGGGAAAAATGTGCAGGTTTTCGTACGAAAATTGCACGAAAATTTCATGAGCACTAAAAACTGTGATGTCTCGTACAAAATTGTACGTAACATTTAGTGTGAGGAAACGGTGCCGATGCACTCAAAGCGATTTGTGATGGAACCTGTTGTGTTTTGTTTTGTGGCGCTTATCGCGTAGAATGCTTTTCCGAAGGACAACAATTAGTCCCCTGCATCGATTGTTGTTACAGCTACAGTGGCGTGGATCACAGGGCACCTCTCCGTTTGATCGCCGCGATAGAAGTGGTTCAACAGGTGCGGAACAAGGAGAGGGCGATAAAATGAAGGTGTCGATCGGCGGCCGATCTTAACGCGTGCTCTGTGTTCTTGTTTCCGCTGTTCCACTGTTATTGGTGGAG